TAACACAAGAAAATCGAGATTTTTTAATATTTTATTAATTTTTTCAATATAAATTTCTTTATTTTGCTATTACAATTTAAAAACAAAAATTAGGTTTAACTGTTTTAGAATATATTGAATAGAATTGATAAATCTAAATTTATCATAAATATTTCCGACACCCCCATGATAATTATTTTTTATTGTGTAATACTTTTGTTGTCACAACGAACAGCTGCTTAAGTCGAGTTTGACCGTTCTTTAAATCAGCACAAATTTAAATTTTCGAAAATTTAACCAATTCAATAAATACCTATACCAGTTTCTCATTTGCTTTAATATCAAAATTTCATATATATTTGTAATGAATATTTTACAAACAAATTTATTTGCAAACTTTTCGATTTGAATTGCAGCAAACCCTAAATTTTAAATTATCACATCTTTTTATATATACCAATAGAATAGGTAGTCAATGTAGAAATCCAGTTTTTCTTAAAAATATTAAAAATTCATTTTTTTTTATAAAAAATATGATGTTATGAAAGATTAAGTGAATCCGCGCTTATATGAGATCAATTAAATTTAAAATGCAAATTAAAAGAGCTCATTTTAATTCTCTGAATAATTTTTATTCTTCAGAATAACAAAAATTTATTTACTAATTTTTATTATACTTTGATTTTTCTACATTACATACACATATTAATAAGAGATTTTTGTAATAAAAAAAAAAACGCTATAAAATTACCATTAATTCTTCACGTATGGTATTAATTAAGCAAACGGAATTCCGTTTATTCCTTTGAGGAATTCCCTAAATCATTAAAGAAAAAAAAATCCCTTTTTTTTTTATTTAACACACTTACAAAACGTGGCAGCGTTTATTGTAATTGACATGATGAAAGAGATAAGTTTTCTCATTAAAAACAAATTTTGCGCATGACTTTTTGTAATTTTTGTTTTTTTTTTTTGTTTGACAACATGAAAAAAAAATATGGAAAAATATCTTTTTCAAAAGTTTCTCTTAAAAATAAATTGATAAAGGTTGCCAGCATGTTAAGAATTATATTAGAAATATTGTAAGAAATCAAATATACGACATAGATTTGATCATAGTAATTGTAAAAATCAGAATTTGTCAAAATTTTATAATTGAAGAAGAAGGATATATGTAATTTTTTTCTTTAAAAAAAAAGCAGAATACAGTTTTATAATTGTTTCAAAATTTAAGTTTCAACAGCTATATTTTTGAGTGCAATACGAGTATCATTTTTTTACTTATATAATCATGAGAAATTATAAATTATCAAGAAGAGGAGAATTACTTGCAATTAAAACAAAAAATAAAATTGAAAAACTTAAGGACTCTGTACAAAGGCCAGCTACCGGTATTCCTTTAAATGCTTTACCGGGATGGGCTGAAATACCACTATATAAGAAATTACCAATGTTCGAATGCCCTAAAAATCAAATTATTTTCACAAAAAATCTTATTGGACACGGAGTATAAATTTATATTATAAATGCATATTTTATTAAAAAATTTTATTTTCCATTTCTATTTTAGCTTCCAAAAATTAATAGTGAATATGATACTAATTGTTTAAATATATTTAAAACAGAATATAATTCATTGAATGATTCTCATCTACGGCATTTTTATTCAAGAAAGCGAAATTTAGATGTAAATTAAAAACTTTATGGATTTTATAGTTTAATTTCTTAATAAATGCTCTATTTATTTAAGATACTGAAAAAAAATGGAATTATTACGAATAATAATTATGTTATATGTAATCTTTATGAATTCAACGAGTATAGAAGAATATTGAATCATGTTCATTTATTTTCAATTCATAAAGAATTAAAAATAAGAGTTAAGTGCATACCATAAATAATTATGGATCAAAATATAATAGTATTATATTCATTAGTATTTCTCGGCATGTTAATTGTTACACAATTCGAATTATAGTTATGAACAATTTTTGCTGAAAAATTTACAATTTCCAGTCGAACATAATCAATTTCCAATTTTAATTGTGAAATGTTTTTTTTTCTTGTTTCTTAGGAAACAGAGCATCAGGACAAGAAAATGTTAGAGCATGCTGATAATATTATGAAAAAAGAATATAACAAAAGAATGTACAAGACTGATTACTGTGATCCAGAAAATGTTCTTCGACTAAAAAAAGAAATTTTGAATCAAAAACTTCAAAAACACAAATTAAATTTAAAAAGTATTGACGAGAAAAATTTAAAAATAGAGAAAATGCAAAATTTTAAATTAATGATTATAAAACATAAATCTGAACTTCATAAAATTGCAATGGAACAAAGACAAATGCTAGCAAACGAAATTTTACGAAAAAAAGTTATGGAAATTAAAAAACACATAAAAAATAGAAATTATGTGCACGCAAGGCACATGAAATCCTTTAAAGAAAATCAAGTTAAAAAAAAACTTGATATGGTATAAATAAAAATTTTATCAATAATTTATTATGATTGAATATTATTGTATTATTTTAGAAAATTATGCATTGGGATAAACTTATTCAAAATACTACGAAAACAAAAAATAGAAATGCTGCATTAATTGCAGAAAATGATGCTATCAAACAGAGAAATATTACAGTGAGTGAAGTCGAAAAAATTATTGACATTTTTTTCAGTTTTAAATAAAAATAAAATTTTTGTAATAAATAGAGACATATACGGAATTCACAAAAAATGTGGCAAAAAATTCAAAACAGAATAGTTGAAGCTTCAAAAGCAAAAAGGTCTTTAACTAAACCTAAGATTTCTATGGAGAAACGTTTAAGTAAAAAATTGTACACAGAATTAAAGGTAAATTTAGTAGTCTTTTTAAGTTTTATACAGTAGTGCTTAATTTATATTTAGTACAAAAAAACGAAAAGTATATTTTATTTATAATAAAAATTTTTTAGAAACAAAGCGAGGAGATGAAAATTTTTAATATCTCAAAGTTCACTTGTAAAGATATTGTGGATGCAGTTCGTACAGCTATCGACATTCAGGAGAATTTAAATTGTTCTCATACAAATAAGAATATTTACGAAGCCGCAAAATATATTATAGAACATGTTTTAGCAAGTGTAAGAAATTTTTTCTTAATCAAAATTGGTTTAACATTAAGAACTTATTTTCTGTTACAATTCCTTTCAGATTGATTATGACCTTAATTATAATAAAAATCATTTTAATGTAGTAAATCAAACAGTTGAAGAGATATTTAACAACACAAAAATTATTGTTCTGCAGGTCAGTAGAAAAAATTATTTTACTTAAATTAATTACAAAAAAAAGGATCTACCTAATTAAAACCTGTATTTTTTTTTCTTTAAAGAAAGCCAAATTAGTTTTAAAAGATTTCAATTCATTAACTAAATTATCAAAACAAAATAAGAATACTAATAGAAACTCTAATGCAAAATCCGTTTCTTTTGGTGAATTTTCATCAGTTATTGGTACTTCTGCATTACAAGAAGAATGTGACCTGTTTTGTAGTCCAATTATTATGAAATCTGTTATAGGAAGAATGCCGACACCAGCTGTAAATTTAATACATGCATGTACTAATAATTACCGTATATGATTCTAATATTTTATTGTTTCTTCTAGGGATCTTTAACATCGATAATAGCAGCACTAGAAGAAGTTAATAAAGAACCTTTAATTGGCGATGAGATTTTATGTGAAAAAGTTAGAAATGAAAAAATTTTTTTGGGACATATTCTAATTAAATTCAAGAGGCAGTTGCTTGTTGGTGTTAATCAAAAAGTTTTTGATGTTTTAAAAGATTTTGTTAACCGCCATATTTTCGAAATCAATAAAGAATTATTAGGTATGTAATGATGCCGTTAAGCAAAATATCTACATATTTATGTACATATGCATTCTTTGTTTATTTGATAATTGTAATTTTCTAAATATAAATCGATTTATGTACAATTAGATTTGGGTAGAAAAATAAAATTTGCTTTATACAATTTTTTAGATGTTGATAAAAAATACTTAAGGAATGAGATAGCTAAATCTATTCTAAAGTACAATGTAAACAAATATGATTTTCAAGCCAACTTAAGATTTTCTACAAGCGCGTTAGCCGCAGACGTAATATGGGAATTGCAAAAGAATATTTCAGAACCAATTAAAATTTTTGATGAGAATACAATCACTATTTCCTAAATTTTAAGAATTTACTTACATATATGTTAAACGTATTATAAAAAAAACAGCAACATTATAAATTTGTACAATTGATAAATTTTAATTGAATTTATCATTGAGAAATTTAAAAATACTAAAATATAATATAGCGAAAAATAAAAACAATGCCAATTTCCTAACTAATTAAAAATAAATTAAAGAAAATACTTATTACTTACAGGCTAATTAAATAACTTCCTTGTTAAAAAAAAAATAAATAATTTTTGCAATCACTTTACTACACTGTGAAATTTCAATGTTTTGTTTTTGATTCTCCAATTGACAATTTTCCAATCCACGCTAGGTTTAATTGTCAAAAACATATTGTTATTTGTTCCCATTCGATAAAAATATGGAACCCATTTCTTATGTGGATCATAAAACGAAACATACTTTTTACAAAATTAATATTTCGCGGAGTATGCAATACTTCAGTGACGTCTAGTTACGGAGGAATAAAGATTTTCTCATTTTTAATTAATTTCTCATATTTTTAAAATAGGTATGTCTAGTGCTTGAGTGAAATCCGCATTCCTTTTAAAAGGATGAACCCTTTCTAAATTTCAAATCTGTTTACAATATCGATAAAGCATCCCAGCAGCAGCTGTAGGAATACCACTGCTAACCGTAAAATTAATGTCACACGTAAGGTATGCATATAATTTTAATATTTTGATAGCAATGATTAGAAACGAACGAAACGAGAACCAAAATACTGTCGACATACATAGGAATGAAATTTATTTACATACATTATTTATTTACAAATAATACCATGCGGCTTATGTCAGAACGTTGAAACCAATATAGGAACATTCAAAACAAATTAAAATAAATTATAGTTTTTTGGAAAATATTCGATATATACGTATAATATAAAATTATGAATTTGCTGCCAAAAACTCATGAAGAATTCAGTAAATCAGATTATTGGAATTCTTTCTTTAAAAAGCGGGGAGAAAAGTCTTTTGAATGGTATATTGGACTGGAATTATATTGTAGCATGTGAAAAATATAAGAATATAATTTTAGGTATGGTGAATATTTAGAGCTTTGTGATATTTTAAACAAATACATTAAGCCAAAAGATAAAATTTTGGTAGTAGGATGTGGCAATTCAAAACTTTCGTTGGATATGTACGATACTGGTTATAAGTAAGATTTAACTTTAAAGATTTTATCTTCTCTCATTACAAATGTATTTTAGGGAAATTATAAATATAGATATTTCACATGTAGTTATCAATCAAATGTTGGATCTGAATCGAAAAACAAGACCAGATATGCAATTCTTACAAATGGATGCCACAAAAATGACATTTCCGGACGAACATTTTTCAGTAGTTCTAGATAAAGGCACTTTAGATGCGTTAATGACGAGTGATGAAGATAGTGTAGTTTCTATTGTTCAAAAATATTTTGAGGAAATCTGTAGGGTTTTACGGTACCTACCTACTTTTTCTTTTTTTTCATTTTGTTAAACAAAACTAAAATTTCAGCAACGGCGGCAGATATGTCTGTATAAGTCTTTTGCAAGAGCATATAGCAAAATTCGCAATTAATTTCTTCCAAAGCCATTCTTGCATGTTACGAGTAGTTCGGTGTGTGGAAGCAGAAAATATTATGAGTGCTCAAAGTAGCGAAATGAGTTTCCCTATTTTTGCTTTGGTTGTTACAAAATTCAAAAACCTTAATCAAAAGGTACCTTTAATCCAAAGGTCTATATGTTGAATAAAAATCTTATTAAAAATATTATTAATTTATAGGTTCTAGAAATTTGTATGGGCGGAGATAAAGCTCAGAGAGTTCAGTCTGAATCTCAAGTATTAGAAAGTATTGATTCAATACAAAAAACTGCATTGATATTCAATTCTCTCAGAAAAAAAGCTCTGCAAGGTAATGGTGTTATGTTAATGATGAAAAATATGTAAATACCACATTTTAAACAAATTTTTTTCTTTTATAAACTCCTTCAATTCAAAGTTGTTTCTCTGTAGCTATCTATTATATATATATATATGTTGAAGTAATTATATATTTTTAATCTACTTCAAAAAAAATTTCAGATAAAAATGATGAATTAGTTATTGAGTTATGTGAAGTGAGCACTAATAAAATACGGTTTACAATATATGTTGTAGAACAAACTCCACAAAGAGGAAATTCAAAGTATGGAGCATTTATAGTACCTCAAGGAAGGTAAAATTTTAAATAAATGTAAAACGTATATTAGTTAAGTTATTGTAAATATCAAACTTAGAGAAGCAGAATGGTTATTTTCTACTAAAAGCGGAAGAAAGAAGCTTTTAAATACAGCTAAACATAATCGTTTAGCAATTGTTACATTACACAGAGATCAAGAGTATGAATCCCTAGAAAAAATTCAAGAAGAGCTTAATAGTACTTTATTAAACCTTAAACCAAACGGAATGATAGAAAAAGTATTTTGATTTTATATTGATTGCTATTAATAATCTTGTTCTTTTTAAAAACAGATACCTTACTTGTCTGTTGGCCCTGATGTTGGCAAAAGAGAACTTGTAGCAAAAGGTAATTCACAGTTTTCTGGTGAATATCGAATAGAAGATGTAGAATATGAAGGTGGAAAAATATATAGACGTTTAGTGTTTATGAGCAACCAGAATGTAATTCAGTCAGAAGCCCTTATACAAAAGAGTATTTTGAAATTTAAATGAAAAATGAAAAAACCAAATTACAGTTACTTTATTTTTCATAGTTAAACGAAAAAACAAAGAAGAAAAAATAATAAATTTGGATTATTTAGCTTGTGAGCATCATATTTATATTACAATAGGAATAAACATGGCCACAAAATTCATTCAAAAAAGGAAAGTTGATGATAAAATTCTCGTTGTTGGTCTTGGAGGGGGCGGTTTGTGTTCATTTGTCCATAAGACTTGCGAGTAAAACTGCTTTTACTATTATTTTTATCGGTTATTAATTTAATTTTACCTATTTCAGTAATATTATAATTCATGCGATTGAGATAGACTGTGAAATCTCTAATGTAGCGGAAAACTATTTTGGTTTAAAATTAGACGAGAGAATGCAAGTTTTTATTGAAGATGGTTTAAATTTTTTAAAAAGTTGTACAACACAGTACAAAATAATTATCTTTGATGTAGATAATAAAGATTTATCATTAGGTATGAGTTGTCCGCCTAAAGAGTTTGTAGAAAAGGATGTTCTTAATATTGTAAAAAAACTGATTGAACCAGATGGATTTTTTATATTAAATCTCGTTTGTCGTGATGAAATTTTAAGAAACGAAATTATAACGCAATTGAAAGAAGTTTTCAAACACATTTGCACATATAAATTAGAAGAAGAAGTTAATGAAATTGTTTTCTGTACTAATCAAAAGGATTTATTTAGTATGATAGATTGGAGGAATAAATTGGAGAGATCTTGCAAAGAATTGAACAATATTATAAAAAAGAAAAAAATTAATAATAACAGTTTTGAAAATTTAGTTGAATTCTTAAATAATTTATCTATATCTTAGTTATAATAAAAAATATAATGTAAAATTAAAAATAATAAAAAATTTAAGAAATTAATTTGAATATAATAAATAATATGCAATTACAAATTGTATGTTAAAAATATTTATATGTGTTTAATTTAAATAAATTTACTCATTTATTTTGTTATTAACTTTTTCTGTTTTCAATTTATTTGATTCGGATTCATTTTCGCAATTAGTTTTGTTTAAAGGTTCAATTAAAGAAAATTTTTGTTGATATATAAGTGACGAAATGTAGAATGTTATAAGAATATAAACTAAAAAAACTGCAGTTACAATAATCAATATTGACATTATTAGCTGTAATTTTAAATGAACGTCATTTAAGTCTTCTTTTAGAATATTATTCTGCTTATCAAATGTCGCTTGCAATTCCGTAAATCGCTGCTCAATCATGGCAAGTGTTTTTGAAAAGCATTTTTGTGAATCAACACAACAGTCTTTGCCTGTAGTGCAAAATACTTCAGAGTTTTCATTAGAAAAGCACATTGTTTTTCAGTTAATATCGATCTATAAAAATACAAATAACATAAATTATTTACTATTTTTTAGAAATTCGTACTTGAAATTTTTAGAAATATAATTACGCACTTAATAATATTATTCTAATAACTTTGTTAGATTTACGTAAATAAATATTTCTTACATTTATATTCCACAATAAATTTTTCAAAATTGTATTAGCGGTATTACTTCGAAATGATTAATTTAAAAAATCGTATCTTGAAGAAAAAGCTTTGTGGTTTGTTCAATAAATTTCCGTTGCTTAGGATATGAATAAACGACATATTTACATATATGTACGGTTAATGGTTATAAATTTTAGCATAACTATTATCTGTTTATTATTAATTTCAATAAATTTAGCAACAACAGCAATGTTATGTGTCTTCCAAGTTTACATTTTTCAGTTTTGCCGAATTTCGAATTTTGTAATAACAATGTGTAGTAGAAATATCAATATAGGAGTATGTTTAAAGAAAATGAAATGAAATTCTTTTTATATTAAAAAGCATTATGCACTAATTTTTATATTATATTATCGAATAAATAATAAAGATAATGGCGAATAAATCAAAAGGTTGTTTTTTAATACATATATGTATGTATTTAAATTATTTTGAAAAAATTTCTCGGATATTACGAAAATAACTAATTTTATGGTATGGTATGTATAAAATCTTGATAATCCTTTAAATAGAATTCAAATTTGAATAACAAAAAATTTTGTCTGCACTTCAAAGTATTAAAAGGTTTACAATATTATTTTAGGGATTATTAGTAGATAAATAGTAAATGAACAAAAATTAATAAATTAGGTTCGATTTTATTGACGAAAAAAATAAGTTTAGTACAATGTTATTTTAACATAAATTTCAGTCCTAAAATGGATACCCTCAAATAATTACATTTCATAAAATTACTAATATTAAAACACATTACATTTATGACAAAAAATAAAAAAAAAAACTCAAGACACATGCACACCATATTTGTTTAAACTAATTATGAAAGGAACTTTTTTAAAAACAATTACAAAATTTTGATCTAAATAAATATGAAAAAAAAACTTATATACAATACATATACATAATTAAAATGAAAATACGCTAATAGTATAAACTGGAAATTACCGAACTTATGAAAGCTACGAAATTAAACATGACTGTTAAATATTGCAAACATAAAAATATTAAAAAAAAAGTATAATATAATTCATTTAGTCTACTATTGTATAATTTTAAATTTTAATTTCAACTTAACGAAAAAAATATATTATTTAATATCAAAGCAGTTTATACCGGACGAATTTAATTCAATTTTTATTTTATATTTTTACTATAACTATTTAAGTTTTTGTTTATTACTTATTTTATTTTAATATTTTTTAGTATTTTAAATAATTCAAACCTTAAATTTAAAAACTAATTTAATTTGAATTAAAGTTTTATAAATTTCTTTAAAAGAAAATGTGTATATTTTTATATTATTTAATGTTAAAATATCTTATAAGTTAATGTTGATGAAAAATGGAATGATTAAAATATTTTGAATAAAATATTAATTATCAATAAGTAAAATATTAATTATTATTTATATGATCTGATTTAATATTAAATATATACAATAATGTATGTTTTAAAGTAATAAATGTAATGTTATAAACCCTGTATGTTATATCAAAAAAATTTAATTCTATTGAAAATTTCAATTTAATTTATGGTTAATTTATGTACATAAAAAGTATTATTTTATGAAAATTTACTTAATTTAACTACAATATTTCTTAATTTTAATTTCTTTTTAAAGTTATCAAAATTTCCAGTTTATATTACGCCTTTTCGACACAAAAAAAAAAAACATTAAACAAATAAATGAACTAACTGAATGATTGCTTGATAGTGATTATTACTTTTTTTCAATTAACTTTTTTCTTTTTTAAATAAAATCACAAAAAAAAAACCAAATATATACATTTAAATATTATTATACTAAAATGATATCAAAAAATACAATTTTTGTATTTTCAATATGATTATTTTCATTATAAATGTGCTTCGTTAAAATATAATTCTAAATTATAAATTAAAGCTAATTAAATTAATTAAAGTTTATTTTTCTAAAATAATATCTACTTATTTATTAAATATAAGAAATTTTAATTAAACTTTTCTTAAACAAGACAAATCACACAAATCAATCATAATGATTTAGATAATATAAATGGGGGAGCGAAAAAGTTTTTCAATTTTTTTTTTTTTCTTTTAAATATTTTTTTTTACAAATAATTAAACATTTCATTTTCATTATAACAAATTTAACAAATTTATTAAAATACTTTTTTAAATATTTTTTTAAAACTGCGTTGTTTTTTTGTCTTATTTTTATTACCATTATTTTCTTTATTTGTTGCTGCTGCTGATGATGATGATTCTGGCATATTGTGTTGTAAACTACTGCTTGTACCCTCAATACTAGCTTGCAATGAAGAATCTTCTGAATTTGTTGTACGTAATGAATCGTTTTCACTATTATTTATACTATTATGAAATATTATTTGCTCAGAAACAGTTGAGTTTGGGGATGGATTTCTTTCAACAATTATATCACGTTCGCTATCTAATGAATTATTTAAAACATATTTAAAATATTCTTTATTATTTGAATTATCTTGTATTGTTATTTTCTTTTGCCGATTTTTATTACTACCATTACGTATCCATTCCCAACCAGTTGATTCAGTTGTAGTTTTTTTGTTAAATGGTGATTTAAGAAAGCTTGGTGATGATAATCTTCTTATTTTAACTGATGTATCAGATTTCTTTGGTTTATTGTTGTTATTATTATTGTTGAGTTTTTTTAATTTTTCAATATTATTTTTCGATTTTTCATCATTATTTTTATTTGAAATATATTCATAACCAGAATTACATGATGAAATTTGATCTGTTTCATCATCAACAACAATTAATTCTTCTGGAATTGTTTCATTTTCTAATTCATCACAATAGTTATTATCACTACTATTATTACTTTGACCATTCATTTTATTGCTTGCATCATAAAATATTTTTGAAAATTTATTAAATTCTTTATAATTTTGTTCTAATATATTATTGTTACAAATAATTGGTAATGAATGTTTTTTTATAATCGGTTGATTATCTTTTGAATAACAAATTGATAATTTACGATTTCTAACATTTGATTTAATTCTATTATTACAATTACTGTTCTCACTATAATTTTCATATTCCTCGCAACTATTTATATTTTCAATTGAATTGTCACTACGCATATTTTGATCATCAATCATTAAATCTTTATAACTACCATTTATTTTCATAGCCTCCTCACTAGGTCTTCGAATTTTTTTATTTGCTAAATTGGAATTTCTCGATACACCATCCGTTGATTTTCTTCGTTTTAATTTTTCATTTTCTTTTCGATTTGAATTACTTTCTTCAAATTTCTTATATAGAGATTTTTGTCTTCTACCAATTAATGTAACAGAATAAAATGATGTTAAAATATAAATTAATCCGATTGTTGTAACAATTATTAAAACAAACATCCAAAAATGTAATTTTACATTTAGTTCATCTAAATTTGATTGAAGTGCTGTATTTTGTTTTTGGAGTAATAATTCTAATTCAGTAAATCTACGGTTTTGATCTTCAATTGCAGTTAATGTTTTTGAAAATGATGTTTGCAACTCTTCCACCTGCTTTTTATAACGTCTACTTAACTCTTCCAAATATTGCCCTGATAATGACATATTACGTTCGAGAGCCTATAAATAAAGTAAAGAAAGTAAAATTTTATTAAAATTATATTTTACTTTTTTTTTTGTTTTCGAGATGAAAATAAGAAATTCGTTAGTCTATGTTTAATATATATAGAAATTTATATGCAAGTTTGTTAGTTGTAATTTTTGGATATTTTGCCAAAATATGTAAAAATAAAAATTTTCTTTTTTGAGTAATAATAATTATTCATTACCAAATTTTTAAGATAAACAAAATGTTTTTTTTTTCGATGCCAAAATATTATTCAGTGGAAAATATAGTCACGTCTACATAGTTTTAAAAATACAAGAAATATGAATTAATTAATTTTTACCACTGATTTTAATTTGTTTAATAAAATACATATTATGTAGTTTAATAAAGTAGTAAGAATGCGAATTACACATATTATGTGCATTAAAAGCAATGGATTTTAAATCAAGGACGGAGGAACCTAGCATGCAGAAAGACCTTAAGGGCTATTTACAAATAAATTACACAAAAAAAACAACATAAAAAAAACGAAATTCGAATACAAAAACAACAATCCAAATTAAATTATTGATCCTCAAATTATTTTATTCGTCTTGCAATATCAATGGATGGATATAGTAATCACATTGTAAATTAATAAACAAATTCAATATGAAAAATTATTTTCTATTTCAAAGGTCAAATATCATATTATTATAATATATTTTTTACAAAAATTTTTAATTCTTGCCTCTTATTAAATTTAAAAGATATTTTTAACAATAATGATTTTTACTAATATTTTTAAATTTTACAGTTGCCCTTGAGTCCTAATTAGTTTTTTACGAGAAATATTACGAATATGAGTAAATACAGACATCTCTTATTAATATTATTATTGCACAGTTCATTTAATTTAATTATTATTTATCAAATATTAAAGCAATAATGCATTTCTAATTAACGTTTAGTGGTAAGTCAATAAATCTGAATAAATGCTAACATACGATATTATAATTTTTAACAGTAAAAATTAAATGATCTAAACGCAGAGATAATTTCATTACACGCACTCATAATATAACAAAAAAAATAAAAATTTAATTACATCATAAACTTCCCGTTCAATTTCTTATATTACTTATAATGCCTATTTTAATTTAATTATAATTAGTATGTGTGACAATATGAAATTCTTAATTTAACTGTTCAATAAAATATAAAATTAATAATTTTTGGAAACGTACATAAAATTTCATAATTTTTAATAATTTTGTTTCCTTTTTTTTTTAATTTTTCGGATTTAATTATTTTTTTTTTATTTTTCAACTGAATTGAAAAATATGCGTTTAAAGTTGTTACGTTTTTCACCTTTTAAATTTATTTTATGCTCGTATGATAAAAGAAATTTTACAACTGAAACACGCGAATTTGTTCATTTTTTTTTCTTTTATAACTCCTTTTTCTTCCTTTCTAGTAAATACAAGAAAAATAATAAAGGACAAATATAAAAAATAATAAAAAAAGGAAAAAAAAATGGTTTAGTCAATTATTTTTGGTTGTCTAGGAATTATGTAATATTTAAAGAGCTTTTATAGTGCATTCGAATCGAATCTTTAATATTCTATTCACATATATAAGTATGTATGTATGTATACATTGAACATGCCTTCGTCGTACACTAGTTAGAACACTCACCTTCAAAGTATGACCTCATGTATGAGGTTTTAATCTTCTCATGACAAGAAAATATAAAATAAAGTAAAATGTATAATAAAATTTGTTCATTTTTGTATCGGCCTGACCGATATTTACTTATAATATATTGTATAGAGATTAAGTTATTTAAATAATTATTTTACCCTCATATTGTTAAGCAATAATGTTGGATCGGCATGTAATGTGTTGAATTAATCGTCATTACAAAATAAAGAATAAGAAGAAATTAAAAAATTATTGAAATACTAATAACAATCGAAAGCATTTTGATTCAATTTTTCAAGTTCAAGGAATTTGTTTTTTGTGAAAATTTTGATCTCATATAAAATAAGTCTAGTATAGTTTTCCCCGAACTCCAATTTTTTCTTGATTAAATCTTGTTATCTATTTTCGTTAACAACTTCTCTATGTGTTTATTTCTGGTATACATACATTGTATTATTTTCCCCCTGATTAAGTTTTACCTTAATTTTATATCAAAAATGATTAATAAAACCAAATGTTTTGGATAATAAATAACCAGATTTATGATTGAAAGTTTTAATAGAATTCTGAAAGATCTAATTAAAAGATATTAGCAGCTATGTTCATAAATTATTGACAATATTTAATAAATTATTTTTTAAAAAAGATTAGACAATTGTAACTTTTTATAACATGGATAAAACAAAAAAATTTAAACTACATTTTTATGGGTTAAAGTGAAAGGTAATGATAATTTAAGGGTAAGAAAGGTAAGGAAAATCCAATTCTACATACTACTTTTAAACAGGGATATTGTTCCCCATTTCAATAAATCAAATGTATTCTGGAGGACTCAAAAACACATGCAAATATGCTAAACTAAAGTTTACATATTTTCTAAGATTAAGACAAAATAAATTGTACACCAGCTGGATAGCCACAAAATGATAAGGAATCATTATGTTGTTGGTCAAGTTTTCATAAATATATAGAAATAAAACATCAACAAACAATATATTAATTATATAAGTAGCAGATATTGTTTTGAATGTCACTATCAGATTAGTAAGCTAATATAACACTTTTTAAAAAGAAAATTAAAGGCTTTCAATAATAAAATAATTGAAATTAAACTGTAAATCTCACAATATACATAACAAAATTTTTAAATTATTTTTTATTTAACACTCTAATTATAATGTAATTTATTATATATAAGATTTATGTACCTACTTGTGACTCCTGACTCTACTACGTTGCCAACTTTAAAACTTTATTTTTTAAATGAAAATAATAGCCTAATTATGATTGATATATTGATATCGATTAACAAAATACAATATAATTTATACATCGTTTCATTTCAAACACCCCTTGTTTTAGAAAACTTTGTAATATTAGTGTGTTTTAAATGACCAAATATATTAAGTGAGTTCCTTTCCTTTTTTTTTACAAAATATTGATTTTCGTTATTTTACCATACATTATTATTATTGTTTTTTTATATAAATATATAATTGATATAAATTTCTATAATATAAAATAGTAAATACAATATGTTAAAAGATATAAGCAGATCTTTATATATCTAGATTTATTTATAGTTTACGTAAAAACCATATATCACTTAATAGCTGTTACCGTTAAGTTCTGGAAACTTTTTCAAAAGCAACAGAAAACGGTTAGCTAGGAAAATATTTATGATAAAGAGAAAAATAAGAAATACATACTTTTAGTATGTATACTTTTATGTATGCATTGTGATTAAATTCGGTGACTCCAAACAAGTGGGCTAGCATCAATTTAGAGGCTGCCGAAATATTCAAACTTTTAGAATGCTATCTAATTTAAATATAAATATGTAATCGGAAAAAGTGAGAATTCCTAAGAAATTTGTAAACTTTCATGAATATTGTAAAAAATATTATTAAACTTTCATAGGTTTTTTGAAAACGAACTTATTTAGGCAAAAGATATTTAAAACTTTTAGTTTATTTTATAGAATTTTCAAAGTATGTATTCATTTTATAGTTCAGAATTATAGATTTATAATGTATTAACATTTTTTTTTGCAATCATAATGATTTCGGGTCAATATAATAACAAATTTTTATTACATGGTATTTATGTATTTATATATATACCATAAACATTTGTGTTTGAACTATGAACTTCATAAATTTTTACCGAATTATTATGTTTTTTTTTTTGTTATTTTGTTCAATTTTCGAACTTCATAATTGTTGTTAGTTACTGAGCAATTGTTTTTCCCAATTTATTTCCGATTACACTTTTTGTCCTGATTTTAGCTTAATAAAAATACTTTTTGGTTTTCTTCTTTTTGAGAAATAAAATGTTAAACTAATATCGATTTATAATAAATTTTTATAAATCTATTAGAAGTGAAATATTTACGATATCAAGAAATATTTATGTTGGGAATTTTTTTTGTATGAAACATAGGTTGTATAGGTTGCAATATTTTTCTTAAAATCATTATTACTGACAAGCCTATCAAGATTCGATAAAAAAAACCCAAAGTTTTTGTACATTGAAATGAAAATCTAAAATTTTTTTGCTTACTAAAATCAAATGAAAGACAGTTTTGAGAAAGACATAGCACCAAAGTCAGCTATTTCAATAACTGTGTTAGTTCATGTACAAAAAATATTTTCTAAATATAATAAAATAATATTTCCTAGAAGTTGATTTTGTACAGAAATAAAAATTTTATATTTTCAATGTAAAGAAATATTATTATTTTTATTTTTTTGTTTATCTAAATTTTAAATTTTGAATATTATTCATGTATGTACAATAATTTAATCAGAGTTGAAGCATCAAACGTTTAAGGAAATTTCATTCGCTACAGTACTTTTAATCATGGAAGTAATAAAACCTTGTACATTATTAAAAATATACAGATTTTGTATACATAAATACATACATAGTTAAATGTATATTATTTTGAAAGATAAAAGAATTTAAATAAGAATTGAAGTTCGTATTTATATATTATGTATAATTACATGTTTTTTTCTTAAACTGGGTCAATCGAAATAGTGTATTACGTAGTATGTATATAAAAATTACACATAGAAAAATCAAAGAAGTTGTAAAATCATATAAAAAATTTATAGTAGCTATTTGTGTATTAATATATACTAAAATATGAATTTTTTTTTTTTCATGAGAACAAAATTAAAATTTCTATTTAAAAAAAATGTTATTGTGTTATTACTTACTTTAATTCTATTGGATAGTCTCGTAAAAACACTTTCTGTGTGTTGAGTAGATTTATGTTGATTTGCTACTAGGTTTGATCCTACTGAATTAATATTAAGATTGATATCATTAGTTAAATGTTCATTAAAAAGCCGTTCTTCTGTCTCCCATTGCGAATCATCATCATTTTTAATCTTACTTGGAATTATTGATGGAATAGGTGTCGTAGTGCTTTCATGTATTTCTTCTGATTTTAATTGCAGTTTATATTCAGAGGGGTCAGATTTTTCTTTGCTAATATCTTCCGAATACGTTTCTAAATTATCTTCCTCTGGTATGCTGTCGTCAATGAGATTAAAAATGTTAACTCCTTCCAGTACAGTTGAGTCAGAAATTTCACTCGATGTATCATCTATAGTGTTTACCATTTCAATATTTGATTCTTTAGGATTTTCCAAAGAAATCCTTATTTCATTGCTACTGATTTCATTTGAATTTTCTACTTTATTACCATTTTCAGAGACTATTTTGTCTGAATTTTTTTCTATTTCTTGCTGCTCATTATAATCATGATTTATTTCTTCATCGATCTTTTCATTTGAAATATGATTCTGTTCATGTACTACTTTCTCTACTGTTATGTTTAAAGGTGTTTCTCTATTAGAAAAATTCAGTAAATTTTTATCGAAATTAAAATCGGCTAAAGTTTGATATTTTAAAATATGGCACATTGCTCCTAAATAATCTAAGTTAATGCTATTCAAATAATAACTTTCTTTTTCGTCTATCAAGTATTCATTTTCATGAAAAAAATTTTCATTTAACTCATCATGAAATTGTAAATTGGTTTTTTTATATTTAGAGTCTTTCAAATTTAAAGATTTGTGCAAATTCGGAGAAATTGATAGATTTTTGCTTAAATTTTGAAAATATAATTTTCTAGAAAAACTTACATCAACACCGAATGTATCAAAACATATTTCTGATCTAATAAGATGATCTAAGATGATTCTAATACTTAACAGTTGTATAAGTTCTTTAAATTTACATGACAACACATAGTTGACGTTATCTATTGTTATTTGACTGCAATTCGAGCACTCGAACCTCTTAATTATCGGAGTAAAACATAAAATGTTATTATCTTCGTGAAATTCTATTCGATTGGGTTTTTCTTTCGTTAAAACTTGCGCAGCCTTTTTAACAATTGACATAACAGCATCACTAGCAGATTTAAATAAATTATTATCTTCCTTTTTATTAATTTCCACTTGAACGATGTCATCATCAACATCATCAATATCTTCGTATGGGTTTCGATTTTCAGAATCAAAAGCCTCAAACTCTGAAGTACCATAAACCCGCAACAAAGATATTGGACAAAAATGTTCTGAATTATAATGGGAATGTACGTCAACCCTAACATATTTCCCAAACAAATGTGGAAATAAATCGAAACTTTGAATGTTTCTTGTATCTTCTGCAATAAACCGACCTACATTTGACCAATCTCTTGTTGGAAATCTATTACTAACACTGACAGTAAAATTTTTTGGAGATGATGAAAATAACTCAAAGTTTGCAAAATCAATTTGTTTTGCTTGTATAGCTTCACACAGTTCAACTACAAACCAAATTCGACTTGTACATGGACTTAACATATATTCATCTTTTGATGAAGTTAGTAAAGCTCCAGTATTTTGAGCTTCGAAATTGGATGTTATTATTTTAGCACCACAATCTGGCGATGCATAATTTTTAACTCGTAATTTTAATAAATTTGGAGCTGGCTTATTTCCGTTTGTAATATTCTTTTTCATTGATGAGGTATTACCAGCATCCTTTTCTAACTTTTTTTCAGCTTCTTCCATTTGTTTTTGAGCCCATTCTGAAAAAACTGGGATCGGTTTTTCTTCAGTAATATTCTGTTTTAAAGTTGTTTCAGATTTTTTCGTCTTTATATCCTCGGACAATGTTGTAGATTCTTCCAAAGTTGATTGATGCTCTTCACTTATAATAGGTGCTATTACGAGGCTTTCGTCTTCATCAATTATATTTTGATCCATTTTATCTGGAGGTATATCTCGCGCTATTGGTGGATCGTTATAAGATTCATCTAAATTTATGAAAGAATTCATTTTTTTTTCTTCAAATGATGACGATACAGTATTACTTTTTGTGTGTTTAGTAGTAGTGTTTATTTCAATCTTTATGTTACTATCTAGTACATTCAACTGTGTTCGATAGGGTTCATTTACTCCGTCAGAGTCTACAGTCTCTTGTTTATGTAATATCTCTGGAGAATTTATTGTTTCATCGGGTCCACTGAATATAAAATTAAAATCGTAATCAAAATTTAATTAAAAAACTACAAATAAAGGTAAGTAGATACCTAAATATAACAATTAAATACAAAAGAAATACGTAAAAAAATTAAAGTAAAGCACATATAACTGAGAGAGGAAATTCATCAAAGAGAATCAAGTTATCGCATAAATAGAATAGAATGCGACGAATACAAGATTTGTTTTTTGAATATGTAAGTGTAATTCTCTATTTTTTGCGTAGAAAAAGAATTTAAGATTTAGTATTTAACAAAGATAGTTGTAGGCAACAAAATATTTTGTGGTGCGGAAAATATACGTATCGAAAATTTGCCAAATCGTATTAAAAAAAAAAAAAAATTTCTTGCGAAATAATTACTCACAGATAATTTATTTCTTCCCCTATTTTCACTACATTTCCATTTAATACATCAGAGCTTTCATCCGAATTAGTTGGAAAATTTTTATTAATTTTAGAGTCTTCTTTATCACAAGATACGCTTTCTGATTCCACAAGATTTTCACGCAACAAATTTTCTTTTGTGTTTAATTCTTGGCCTTTAATTTCCCTATTTGAAGTCTTTTGAATATTTTGCATACTTTCAGATGCAACTAAAATAAATAATGCCGAACTGAAAAGCAAAAAAAAAATTGTAAAATAAATATTTCAAGCCAATTAAGTCTTTTTTTTTTCTTTGAGCGCATAATTAAACTAAACTTACCTAGAAGCTATTAATATCAAAAATAAAATTACATATATACATTTTAATATAGATTTCATATTTTTTTCATTTGATTTAATACTTTCATTAAATATTTTTCGCTACACAAAAATGTATTATTTTTTAAAAAGTACGTGTACTAAAATTCTACTTGTCAACTTGACATCTACTGAAGAATAAAATCAAAAACACAAATGAGAAGATAAGAAGTTCATCGGCAATTTTATTGTTGTTTTGATATCAAATTCCATTTCGTTCCATTTCGGTTAAATTGCACTTTAATGACAGTATGAAAAATTGAAACTTGTGGAATTTATGAGTACTTTTGAGTGTTATAAGATTTGTCGAGTTGTATTGATTTGAAATTTTTCATGCAAAATGTCAAAGTTACAAAAAATTTATACATATACCCAATAAGTACCTTAAGTATCTCTATTATTTGTGTTGGTTTTGAGTTTTTTGAAAATGTATTGCATATATATTACCTGTGTTTCCATGAAGATTTTTGCATCAATGGCTGGCATGCGTCGCACTAGCCTGGTTTGGGGGGAATAATGAACGGAACGAAGCTGTTCATTGTGCTTATTATAAGATTAATTCGCAGTTTATAAAACTGCTCGAAGAGACACATATATACATAATTTAATTATATGTACAAAATATATGATTACACTTTTAAAAATGAGCATTTTGTGATGTTTATGAGAATAGACTTCAAAATTTAGATTTTACAATGTTACGGTTTTACATCTTTTTCGTAAGTAGATTTTTGCGTTCTTCCGTACCTACACATTGGTATACAAAAATAATAATTATTAAAAATAGCGGTTAACTTATATGCAAAAATTTACAGAAATATATGCATTTTCTATGTATGCTATAAAGATATACGAGTATGTGATTAACAATAGCCGAAAATATAAAATTAAAAAGTTGATAAAAAAAATAACCTAGAAATTATGAAAATTTACCCATTTGCTGATTTTACAACTATTAAATTTTATATTTTGACAATAAAAACATCTTATTTAGTAATATTAAGAAAATTAGAAAAGTTAGGTTTAGAAATATTTAAAAATTATATAAAACTTATATGTTCAATTAAAAAGTCTCACTCAAGATTTGTAAGATTAAAAATTTACTGAATCTTATAAGAAGAAAAAATTGAAAATATAATTAAATAAAGTGAAGAAATATAAAAAAACTAAATGACATTTTGTAAAAAGTTGATTGACCTTAAATATGTCAAAACAGAAACCACTTCAGTGAAAGTGGTATTACAAATGATTTGGATAAAATAACAACGGAATCCGGCTTTTTTTGTTCTATACGTCATTCAAACATATTATATTTTGACAAATATCCTATATAGTAGTACATATTTATGTGTTGATTTAGACCTTTATACAGTTTCCTTTTGCGAAACATTTATATATGCATGATATATATGCATAATATATATTTTTGTGACATATTTGGAAATTGAAACAATAAATTTTTTGTGTTTCATTTCCAAAAGCTCTTCATTTAACAAAATGGAGGTCGTATCTTTTTGATGTGTTGCGTTCATTTGTTAAAAAGGAAGAACTTTATTTTATTAAAAATTAGTTAAAAGACGAAATAAAATTATAAAAATATTAATAATGAATTTGTGAAAATGTCTTGCATGAAATTTTTGTGAATAATTAATGGAATTATTGGTAATTTTCTAGAAAATCATATAATTAAAATAGTGTTACTTATGTCTGCAGTCGTCAGCTTTTTTTTTTTCAATTGAGTACAGTCGTCTTCCAATAAAGAAAAAAAAAATAAAAAACGCCGTGCAAAATTATTAAGAAAAAATATTTTAAAATTTACTAATTGAAAAATATTGATAATGTAAAAGAATAATATTTGTTTAAGATTTTTGAATATAAAATAAAGAAATTGCTAAATTTTTAATTGAAGCTTGTAAATGTATTAGAGGTTGGAAAGAAAGTATGTATGTACTACATTATAGTTGAAAATTTCTGTAGCGAAATTTTAATGTTTATAAATTATTATGGTTAATTAAACTCTTTGAAAATGAAAGGATGCGTTTAATATTTTCAATGTAGACTGGAATAAAGTGAATATAAAAAATTGTTGCAAAAAAAGGAAATTAGAAAAAATTTTTTAATGTCCAGAATAATTAGAAAATGGCGGTTGTGATGGTGTGTCTGACTGATAATTTTTCTTTTCGATTTTTATTATTCCGTTTTTTTTTTATGTACCTTTGAATATTTAACGCAACGACATTTATAGAATGGTAATAATTACCGACGACGATATTCAAAATTTATTAAATATATATGATATATATGTATGTATAGATGAATATATATATTTTAAAATATAAATAGGTGTATATGTATTTAAATTTAATAAAAAATCTCATTTTGTATAATAAAAAAATTAAATACCAACATATTAAAAAAAAAAACAATAATTAGAAAGTGGAAAAAATATAACCATTTTAAGAAATAAAGGAAAAAAAAAAAAAATTTTGAAATTCAAAAAAAAAAATTAATTAAAAAATGAAAAAAAGAGAAACTTGCATCTGCGGCGATTACCTTCGCGCATCACACACCCTATAATAATTGTGGTTTTAATATTAATTGAAAATGTATGTCTATAATAGGATGCATTGATTTTGTTAAAATTTAAAAAGTTAAAAGTACAATTAAAGAAACAAAACATAATTATTTTATATTTTGTAATAAAAAATATTTTTGGTCGAAATGATTGTTTTAGTTTTTTTTGTTTTTTTTTTTTTTTATTTCAATTTTAATTTTAATTGTGCACTTAAATTTATAATAAAAAAAATTCAATTGAAAATCATAAAAAATTAAAAAGAAAAAAAAATCAATAAAAAGAAGAAGAAAAAAAACTATGAAATAAAATGGAAATAGCTTTAAGATTTTAAAAAGAAAAGAAACAGAAAAAAAGCTGAAAAAAAATATGTGAGTTTTTATTGAGAAAAAGTTGAGAAAAAAAGAACAAAATAAAAAAAATGGATGACATTATTATAATTACATAGATATGTAGGTACTTATACATTTTATTTATTTTGACTTGTCTTTTTTTAATCTGCATTTATTGCTTATTTGTTAGAAAGAGGACAGCACAATCGCACAATCTCTTTTTTTTTTTTTAATATATTTTATTATTCTTTTTTTTTTTTTTGTATTAATTGGGTATCGTGTTTTGAAATTTTCGCATAAAAATTTATTTTTCTTTTTTATTATTACTTCTGCGATGGTATTATACTTCTTTTTTTGTTGTTATTTTTATTATATCTTCGCGTTCCCTTATACTTTTTCGATAATTATTGTGTAAAAAATTTTGTGATCGCATTTTTTTTTCAAAGCGAAAAATTTTAATATCGTCTGGTGTGTAACGCTGCTTTAAAAGAATAATGACAATAAATTGTATTTGTATTGAATTTCTTTTTGTTTTTCTTTTATTGTTTCATTGGTCGGTTGGTTTTGTAAATAGGCAGGTAGGTAGACAGGAGAGACAGACAGACAGACTGAAAACCATGTGTATCGGGTACGATTAACTGTTTATTCACATTCGCATATCGATATACAATAAAACCAAAGATTTTTAAAGAATTATAATAAAGTTAAATTTACTTACTGCAAACTAAAATAATTTGGTAGGTTACCTTACCCAGATAAAAAACGCGTGTTATTGGTTTAATTCGATATATTTCTGTATTGAACTTTGCATATAGTTATGTATCTACCTACTTATGTAGCTATCTGCATACATAGGTATGTATCTACCAATATGTACCTGTATTTTAATATAAAAAGAAGAAAAAAATCAAAAGCAAATCACATCTTTTGGTTCATACTTAAAAAAAAATCGTGTAAAAAAAGTACCACTATTTTACCTATCTGGTTATTTTTCTTTTTCCTGTATGTTTAATTTTATTTTAAATATTCAATATTTTCTTTTGTTCTTTTAATTTTTTTTTTGGGTTGCCAGTGCCTAAAAAATAAGCTTAGAGGAAAATAAGTAAATTTTTTTTAAATCAATATTATCCGGATATAAGATATAAGCAGGTTTTTTTTAAAAAAGCCGGCATAATAAAAAATTTAATTAACCTAACCCTGATTTTCATATTACGAAAAATATTTTTATTACAAAACTGCTTAACATTCCTTAAGCTTTCGGCAATACCATATGTAAAAACTGTTTTTTGCATTCTATTTTACAAATTTTGTAGTTAGGTACCTGGTAAATTGTATATTATGCAGTTTAAAACTGGTATAAAGGTTTTAGATTTTATTGTAGATTTAATCTGATGTGTAGCTGATCTCTTAAACATTTGGTTTGAGAGCTATTTCAGAGACATATATAAGCCGTATTTGCGTTTTCTTACATATTGAGATTTTAACTTTTGATTCATCTTCACTTTAATTTCAATTCACATGCATGCTTTTTTATAAGAATCATGGTGTTTTGTTTTTCGAGCCACTCTCTGATTATTTACGGTATTCAAAACCGTTTTTAATTTTTAAACAATTTGGAATACTTATGCACAAACTGTATGAAACGCGTCCTTATACTTCGTCTAAGTTAACGCAATCTGAAATTAATTAGGCTATACACTCTTAACTAGGTTACTTCTTTTTAACTTGGAAAATTATTGGGTAAGCAACTTACTTGAGTAAGTTTAAAAAATGCAGAAGAAATATTAGCGCACCTATTCTTTCATGATACTATAAAAAATATCTAGAAAAATATTTATTTTTTATTTAAGGGTGGGTAGGTACCAACTCTTAAATATAAAATTATAAATTGGTATCCTTCTCTTCGCTCTTTATTATTTACATTTTATATACATAAAACACTATTTTATATAATTGTGGTATTGTATATTTGTAATGATACAATCATTTAAATAAAAAAAGAAAATGTACGCTAAAAATTATACAGAAATATGCACGTAAATGGATGAATTTATTTTCATACTTACGTAGAATAATATACATACGTACGTACATATAAATATGTATGTAGGTAGATATGTACTTATATTTCTTTATTTTAATTTTTCTTATTTTACTATTAAGTATTATTTTTTTCTTTCTATTATTTCAAAAAGAAATTTTTTATACTTAATTTGATTTTATGTTATAAACTTATATTAAAATTTAATTTACTGTATCGATATAATATACCTACCTATCTACCTACATATACTTAACTAATTAAAATACGAATATTTATGTATGATATACAAAAATTATATTTGAAGTATGATTGTATATGTATACATTTATAATTATTCATTTTATAATACGAGATGGAGATACTTACATACCTACGCTTTAAAAATTATAATATGTGGAAGAACGAAAAAAGAAGAAATAAAATAAAAATTTTATTGACCGGTTCTATATAATCACCGTGCATATACATATATTTATTAATATGTATAACAAAGAATATAAAATTTTATATTATGTACAATAAGCAGTTATAATAAGTATACATAAAAATTCAACAAAGCAAAAATTGAGAAAAAAAGACAAGTAAAAATACTTATGCTTCTTTTTTTTATTGATTTCTTTTTATTTTTTCTTTTTAACTTAAAATTCAATATGCAAAATTTTTTTTATTGTTTAAATTAATTAATCGATTTTTTGTGAAGATATTCAAAATTATTCAATACATTTTGCCAAAATTTATATGAATCGAAAATTTTGACAGAATTACAATTTAACAAAAATATAATATAATAAAATTATTACAATAATCAAAAAAAGATGGATAAAAAATAAATTTCTTTTTCTCATACAAAAGTTAAAAAAAAAAAAATAATAAATTAAAAATATTTTAAATAAAGGGGACAATGTACAACTGTTCGTCATTTTTGAAGGGGTGATGCCTTACGCTGTATGTAATATTCAAAAAATCATAAGCGTATAGCTTTTCCCCTTTAAAGGTGACAAATTTATTGTTCAAAATTAAAAGGATTATAAAAAAAATTAAATAAACGAAATGTTCAAATTTTATGTTTAATGAAAAATAAAAAAAAAATTAATAAAAATTACATTTGATTTAAGTTTAAGAAAGTAAATAACGTGTCCTATATATTACAATAATTTTTGAATATCTAATAAAATTATTTAATATCTAATAAATATAATTGTACGGAATCAGTCACATTTATAATAGCAAAATTGTTTATTATTTTCCTTTTTTATTATTTCTATTTTCTAAGGTTCTTTTCGTGCATTTCTAAAATATTTTTGTATTTATTATAAAGTACATACGTGTATGTGTAAATCTTGTACAGATATTTTAATTATTATCAGCAATTAAATGAAAAAAAAAATTTTTTATATTTGCTTGGTTTGTAGGTTTCTGACCTCATAATATATTGTTTTTTTTTTTTATAAAAATTAGTATAAAAATTTAAAATTTATGAAAAAAAATTAAAATAAAAATCTGCAGACATACATATTAAATATATTTTTAAGATTTATGTATAATAAATACTTACTAGTTAAATTAAATACGAAAAAATGCCAGACATTAATTGTGTACACGCATATTACTGCTGCATACTGCGTTTGACTAGAATTTGGTAATGATTGATTGTAATATGCACTGCATTTATTGATATTGCATATAAAGTTTGTGAAGTGTGGACACATAAACAAAATGACATTTTTTTTCCTGTTCACAGTCATTTTTAAATTCGATTATCCAATAAAATTTCTGCTTTGTACTGATTTTTTTATTTTTTTTTTAAACACGTTACTGTCACTTGTCAATTTAAAAACTAGGTGTTTTTACTATACATCTTTGCAGAAAGAGTGCATATAAAATGTTGAACTCTAGATTTTGTAGTATTATGTGCACAATTAAAGTTATGGAAACTTACATTTGTTATAAGTATACAAATACATACATTACATAGGCACGTACATACATTATGTTATGACCACATAGATTATATAATTTTATTTATAGTATAACTATACTAATACTTTTATTGTGATTATGAAATTATTAATTTTTATTTTAAATCTATATTACGTCGAATAGTGTACTTCTATAATATCTTCTTCTTTGAATAACTAAAAGAAACTTCAAATGCTTCTTGTATTTTGTAGAGCATTCGAGAATCCAAATTTGTTAAATTTTTTTCTTGTTTTTTTTTTTTTTAACGTAATATAAAAGGTAGATTTTGCGGCATAATTAATTAAATTCGGCGTTATGATGCTAAGAGCAAGAAAAACATGTATATTCACATACTTTTCGTCTTAGAAAATTTTACTACTATTACATTAAAATGAAATAGTTCTAAGTTTAATATTAATAATATACAATATCTAGTTACATGTATACCTATATTAAAAATGATTTTTGTTTTTTTCAGATATAAATAATTTAAAAAGATAAAAAATGGAAACAAATAAATTATTAAATTTAATACGTAAGAGGACTACTAACTTTATAGTTGGAATAGAAAAGAAATTCATTTAAATTTTATATTAGCTAAAAATTAATTATATATAAAATAATTACATATAAAATAATAATATTAATTAATTATTATTTGTCGTCGGTTTAAAAAAGAATATTTCGGAAACAAAACAAAAAATATAATTAAATTAAAATATAAATAAAATTAAAATATAAAAAAAAAACAGATAAATCCAATAAAATTGTATAGTAAATATTGAAAAAAGAAAAGATAAAAAGAAATTAATTTAAAGTAAAATTTAAATCAACTTTAGTATTATATTATATATATATACGTACGCTGTATAAATTTCGGTAAAAGAACATCAAAATAAGACAAACTAAGAAAAAACAAACAAGGAATGATTTAATCCTCACAGAATAAATAATCAATTTATTATACATACATATATGCTTACATATTTGAAATTGTAGGAACTCTTAAATATTAACATGACAGACTTAAATTTTTAAATTTATAAATTTTATATATTTAGCTTCTTAACAAAAAGCTAACTATTTGAATTTAGAACACAAATATAACATTATATTAATTAAAAAAAAGTTATTAAAAGTTATTAAAACAAAAAACATATATATATATATATATATATATATATATATATATAATAGAATATTTATTTAAATTTTTGTATCGTAAAATCTGATGGATGGAAATGCACAAAATATGTACGGAAATCATCAAGGGTGAGTTAAAAATTTAAATATTTTTGTTTTGTTTAAATTAGTCATAGGAATAATTTTGTAGATAAAGTATGTGGTATTTATCGGTTAAACAAAATTTCATTGCAATTTTATTTTAGTATTTAAAAAAAAAATCAAAAAATTTTAAATAGTGCAATAAAAATTTATCATTGTACTTTCAAATATGATAAATTTATGCAATACAGATATGGTAGGTACCTACCTTCTAAATCCTTACGATATTTACCATTTAAGTAATGAAATAAACACCATTTGCAGTTTAATTGTTTATTTTTAGTTTAAAAATAAAGATTTCTTTAATTTTTTTATTCAATAGAGAAGTGTTTTTGTAAATACATACATATGTAATTTTTTATGTAATTTAATAATTTGAGTGTTTGATATTTGGTTATATTTTTCCAAATTTTAGAGATCCATATTACAGATATGATCCGACAGCAACAGCAGCAAATCCAAGACCAATGGGTCCACCTGTTACTGGGGGTTATACAAGACATAGGCCACCTCACCCATTACAACAACAGACACAATACCCATCGTACCAGCCACAGGCGGAAAATATGTACTCAATGGGTACCCCGGATCAACATGGTGGACTTGGAATGGCGGATATGAGTGGCTGGGGTCCACCGACCCCTCAATCGAATCAAGGTTATCCAAATCCTACACAGTTAGGTTCTTATGGACATCCGCAACCGGCACCTTCTCCACAAAGGCAACCACAAAATCAACAAGGGTAAGAATTGTTGAAAGATAAATTACATATATGTATAACTAGTTTTGTACTTCAATTTTAGTTACCGACAACATTTAGCAGCATACCAACAACAAGAACAACCAAAATTACCCTATCAATCACAACAAAACCTTATGAGTAATATGATGCCCCAAACTGGTGGATATGTTAACTTAGGGCAACAACAATCACCACAACAACAGCAACAGCAGCAACCACAACCTCAGTCAAATCAACAACAGAGATTAACACAGCATTATCCACAAAGTGGTGGTCATCCTATGTATACAAGTGGTCCACCATCGCAACCCAATCCTCCATCGCAATCACCTTACGCCAATTATGGGTCGAATGCGACTGCTCCACCACCAAATACAATGCAACATCAAACTGGACGGCCAAATCAACATATAAATTACGGTCACAATACTTTAGAATCACATACTCCGGTGCCGACATATGGACAACATATGGCGAATTCTGTTACGCCATCAGGTCATCAAATGGGTACGCAATCGCAGAATCAAACGCAACAACAAACCCATTTGCAGGGACAACAAAATCAGCAACAACTACATCCCAATCAAGTTCCCATGCCTTCGCAACAACAACAGCAACAACACGGTAATACAGCGTCACTGCCTCCGACAAACACACCTCATATGCAGGCTCCGCATGGTGGACAGCAATCACATTCAACACTTTTGCATGCAAATACACCAAATGCAGTAGGAGGGCAACATCAAAATCCTCTAATGGGTAATTATGGACTATCTCAACAGCAACAACCGCAACAGCAGCAACAGCAGCAACAACCATCACCGTATATGTCAAACAACAAACACCAAGCAGCTACGCATGTTGGGAATAGTCCGCAATATAGGGCACCTTTTTCACAACTTTCGCCTCAAATGTCACCTAGACCGCCCCAAATGTCGCCACATTCCCATTTGTCGCCACGAACAAATGTAATGTCACCAGCTAAACCACAGCAGCCTTCTCAAGGTCAATCGCAACAACCTCAAAATGCACAACAGCCTTCTCAAAATGTGGCGCCACAAGCGCCTCAACATATTCAACATCCAGCATCAAACCAGCCTGGTTTGTCGAATTTATCGACTCCAAGACCTCCTCTGCAGCAGCAGCAGCAACCTCAGCAACCATCATCCTCTTCAAAAAATTCTGTTCTGTCTGCAGTTCAACCTGTAAATACATTAGCCGCATTGGAGCAGATGGTAATGCCTAATCAATCGAATCCTATTCCACCGATTGGAAGTATGACTGGAAACCCTAACGATATTGTTAATTACCCTAATTATCATAGGCAAACATTGCCAATGACGTCATCACCAATGGGGCCTAGAATGCCAATATCTCCCCAACACCAACAGTGGAATCCTTTGATGGGTATTCAACAGCAAAATCAAGCGATAAATTCTATGCCAGGTTCGACTCAATCTCAAAATACGCAACTTAATTTATACGCACAACATCAAGGACAACCTGGTGTGTCTCCATTACAACCTTCTGTTCCTATATCTCAACATCAGCATATTTCTCCTCAAAATTCTCAACAGCAGCAGCAAATGCATCCTTCAAACCAGACGCAGATATCTGATCAATTACAACATCCAGTCAATGATATCGTTACTCATCAGCAAAGTCCTATACCAGTCTCCGCAGGGGTAGCCGCGAATAGTCTAGGATCTCAAATACCACATTCGCAGCCACCTTCTTCTCATCAAATTCACATGCCTCAGCAGCAATCTTCACATCCATTAAGTTCTCAACATGTTAATACGCACGCGCCGCAAAATATTTTAAATCAATCAATCACAGTTCCAGTTAGTAACCAAGTACCCCCTTCAACTTCTGTTTCTGTTCCCATTTCTGGCTCAATTTCTGTATCAGAAAATTCTTTAATTAATAATACTAATAATAATCAATTGATGCAAACTTTAAATAACAAGCCGTTGGCCTCAATGTCGGAACAAAACTCTACGCAACAACATTTAGCGCAGATATCTCAAGGCCAACAGGCGCAGCAACAACAACAACACCCTTTAGTAGATCCATTTTCAAATGTTCTAGAGACTTCCCTGTCGCCTCAAAGTCATTTGCAGCAAAATATGAATCAAAGATCTTCAAATCAGTTATCCGCTCAACTGCAGCAACAGCAGCCGATAATATCTCAATCATCTCCGTTACCGCAGCAGCAGCAAGAGCAGCAAATACAAGTTCAGTCGCAGCAAAAATTGCAAACAGAACAAACTTTAAAGCAACCACTTGAACAGCAACCATTACAAGAGCAACAGCAGATTTCTGAAACGCAATCGTCAATACAAGATTTACAACAACAAAACAAAGAACAAGAGCAACAGCAGCTTCAACAAAAACAATCTCAATACACACAAGAGCACTTACAACCAGAATTGGAGAAACAACAAGAGATTGTTGGTGACTTACACCAACAACAGCAGTTGGTAACTGTTAATCAGCAATCTTCCCAAGAATCTATAAAGCAAGTTGTGAAATCAGTATCAGAATTCCCACAGCCGTCTTTAAGCAAGGATCAAATTTCAGAATCCTTAATACCTCCTTTGATGAAAAATTTTGAAAACAGTTCTGATAGTTCTACGTGTAAGATATCAGGAAGTGAGGCAAATATTAATAATGATGGTCAAAATAATATTGGTCATAAAGAAAAAACTGACAATGTTCCCAGTGAATCTGAGTTAGATGAAAATAATCAAAAATTGCCATCATCTGAAATTCAAATTTCATCTCAAGAAATCGCTCTAAAAGAAGACAATTTTGTTTTACCTCCAGATCAGAACTCTCAAAGCTCTCAGCAATCCAGTAATAGTACTGCAGGTTCTGTCAATATAGGATCTTTGAATCAAAATTCGCAAGGGTTAAATATAGCAGATTACGATACGTCATCAAATCACGCCTTAGTAAATGCAGTTTCTATTGTGGAAGATGAAAATACTAATTGTACTACTATAGATGTTCCAAACTTAAGTAAAAATGCTGAAGAAGATGTAGAAGATAAATCAGAAAAAGAACAAGTTCAGCTTCAAAATGAAGAGATCAAGGATCAAAGTGCAAATACTGACCTAATATCTCCTAGTAAGAATAAAAAAAAAATTTTATACAAATATTTTTTTAATGTTTAAAATGTTTTTTGTTTTTTTCAGAAGATATTCTTGAAGAAAGTAGTAAAGAATGTTCTACTACACAAAATTCAGATACTAAACCAGAAGATCCTGATGCATCAAGTTTAAGTAAAAAAGTTGAGGAGGAAACCGTTTCAAATGACATTCAAAAATGTGCTAATGTTTCCACTGCTTTGGATAAACCGGAGGATCAAAAAGAGAATGAAACAAAACACTCATCTAATGAAGATGTCTTACCCTCACAAGTTCAAATCCATTCTATTAATTCTGAAAATTTACCATCACCCACTTTATCAACCTCGGTACCGTCTGCCTCCACTGCAACTTCAACCACAGTACAATCAACACCAGAGTCATCGACAACAACTACTTCAACAACAGTTTCTACAACAACAATATCTTCAACAGATACACCAATAACAACATCAACTTCGATTTCAACTTCGACGCCGACTACATCACCTACACCAGTAATACCTTTAACAACATCACCATCAACAACAATACCATCTGCAACAGTACCTCCAACAATAATAACTTCAACAACACTTTCTTCGTCAATACTTTCCCCTGCAATACCAACAATAACAATATCATCATCGGCAATACCTTCCTCAACCGTACCAACTGTTCAACCTATAAGTTCAGTTCTGCACCAACAGCCAGCATATGGTGTTCCAGGAAGTATAACTACCATGCACTCTATTTCTCAGCATCCCGGGATTATAGCACAAGGTGTAATGCCTACATTTGAAGGAACCTATGGCTCGATTGTGGCGGGTCAGTATCCTAATCCTCCACAGCTTGCGACTTATACTTTTACTCCGAGTCCAATATTATCTCATCATCAAGAGAAGTCATCACTTCAACAGCAATTAACAGAGCTTTACTGTCAACCACCGAGTGCAGAAGTTCAAGAAAAAATTATGCGTTTACAAGAACGTTTAAATATTTTACAAGCACATGAAATTACCGATAAATGTAACGGTGGACCTACTTGTATTTTGCAAAGTGCACTTTATTCACAGTCGCAAATGGTGGAAAGCCCACAGGTTTCAAGCACTACTGGCCGGGGTCGTGGTAAAGGATCGACTAAACCCAGAAAACCCCGTCTAAAAAAAGCTGATAAAATTGCTTTATCGCAATCTTCTCAAGCACAGTCTAGTGAAGAATCCAGTCAAACAATTATACCATCGAATCTACCTGTATCTGAAGATTGTGTAACACAAGGTGCTGGAGATAATTCAATAGCTACTAGTATGGAATTTAATGATACTGGAGATATTTCACTTGATAATTCTTCCAGTGAGTTGCTCGATACCTCAACAGACAAGAAACTGAAAAAACCAAGGAAGCCACGGCAACCTAAAGATCCGAATGCTCCTCCTAAAACTCCTAAAGATAAGTTGTTGAAAGATAAAAAGAAAAAAGATATTAATGATGTGACGGATTCCACGGAAAAACCGAAAAAGAAACAAGGACGAAAGAAAAAGTGTGAAACTTTAGATGAAAAATTGGAAACTTCGGACGAAGCGGATGCTTCCAAATCTGAAATAACCGCAGATACTACTGAGAAGGGAACTGAAGATGAACAATCTACAAATGCAGAAACAAAGGGAATACTAGATAGCTCTGGAGCAGATGCGACTGATTATGACGATATCCCAGTGTCTAAAATTCCTAAAGAAAAACATTCAGAAGATAAAGAAGATAAAGAAGAAAAGAAGGAAGGGGATGACTCTGTTGTTGATTCGGCTACACCTGGAACCGGAGGTAAGAAAAAGAAACGTGGGCGTGATCCTTCGACCCCTTCTTCTAGCAGAAGACGAAATTCTCTTGGAAAAATTGGGAAAAAGCGTAAAAACAGAGGGCGAATAGTACCAGAATCAGACGGAGAAGCTGATGATTTAATAGAAACTCCACCGCCATCACCACCCCCTGATTCAGAAATTGATAGTTTGAAACGAAGATCAGCTCGTAATACCCAACGTAAAAAGTATACAGATGATGTTTTATTACGTTTATCGGATGATGAAATAGACTCTATGCTAGTTGCTAGCGCGACCAATAGAAGAAAGAAAAAAGAAAAAGATAAAGATGAATCTACTACTACCAGTGCAGCTCCTTCGAATGTAAATAGTGATACGGAAAAAGGTAATTTGAATTGTTCGGATGCATTTTAAAATTAAATTTAAACTTTAATATTAAACAAAAAAAATTTTTAATACATTATTTCAAGGTGAAAATAGTACAACGGTAGATGGACCAGAAAACACTGAAGCAAGCATATCGGCAGCTGCTAGTACTACTTCTGAAACCGCAATGAGTGGTGAAAAACAGCTTATTGAAGCAAATTTAGAAGATAAAAGTGAGAAAAATTTGGAAACGAGCAAACCTAATTACGTATATGTTAATACTGGGGATGAAGATTCTATGGTCGTACAGTATGTTCTTGCTGTTAGAATTGGAAAAAGAGAACTTAAACCGGAACCAATTCCCTCACCAAAAAGGGAAGAAGAAAAGAAAACTGAATCAGAAAAAGCTGAAGACCAACAAGAAGAAGCAAAGGAAAACCTTGAAGATAAAACCGATGCTGATGTAAATTCATCATCAAAAACTGAACAAGTTACCGAAGCTGACAACAATGATGAGGATAAAAAGAAAGATGATGAAAAGGATATTGATAGCAAGGGTAGTGCTAAAACTGATGCTTGTGAAAATGACGATGATAAGATGGAGGTTGATACTGAAAAACTTTCTGAAACTAAAGATGAATGCGTAGAAAAAGGAAGTGGTCTTTTTGAAGAGGAAGAAAAAAATGTTAAAGAAGTAGACAAGGAAGAGAAAAACGACGTTAAAAAGGAATCTGAAATTGATAATGAAAAAATTAAAAACCAAGAAAAAAATGTTGAACAAAATAACAAAGATGATTTAATAGAATCAAAAGAAAGTGAAAAAATTAAAGATGAAAGCAAATCCAACCAGTCCCAAAGCGACAAAACTACAGAGGAAATGGAAACAGATGAAGAAAAAGTTGAAACTAAAACAGAAACTGTTGAAGAAAGTAAGGTGGAAAAAATGGATATCGGAGAAGACTTTGAGGCGCAAATTGACAGTGAAATTGAAAAGGCTAGAGCTGAGAGTGAAAATAAAAATCAGAGTATTTTGGAAAAAACTGTGACACCTCAAGAAGAAGCAGAAAATAAATCCGAAATGGAAAAAGAAATTGAAAGCGAATCTGAAGTAAAGCAGAATACGACTAAATCTGAAAGTGATTCCGATGATGACGATGATGATGATGACAATAAATCTAAAACAGAACCAATATTTATTGAAGTTGAAGAGTATTTAGTGAAATACCGAAACTTTTCATATTTACATTGCGAGTGGCACACGGAAGAAGAACTATTTAAGGGTGATCGCCGTATTACAGCTAAAATAAAACGATTTCAACAAAAGCAAGCTCAGCAAATGAATATATTTGATAATATAGAAGAAGAGCCTTTCAATCCAGATTTTGTTGAGGTGGATAGAATTTTAGATGTTTCCGAACATACAGATAGTCAAACTGGAGAAGTAACAAAACATTATCTTGTTAAGTGGAAAAGTTTGCCATACGAAGATTGTACTTGGGAGTTAGAGGAAGATGTTGATGAGATCAAGGTTCAACAATATTATACATTTAATAAAATACCTCCAAGGCAAGAATGGAAAATTAAAAAGAGACCAAAAGCAGAAGATTGGAAAAAATTAGAAAAAACTCCTGTGTATAAAAATGATAATACTTTGAGACCATATCAATTAGAAGGCTTAAATTGGTTGAAATTTTCTTGGTATAATGGTCATAATTGTATTTTGGCAGACGAAATGGGTCTTGGAAAAACAATTCAAAGTTTAACCTTTGTCCATTCTGTATGGGAATACGGGATACGAGGACCATTTCTTGTTATTGCTCCATTGAGTACAATTCCGAATTGGCAAAGAGAATTTGAAGGGTGGACTGATATGAATGTTATTGTGTATCACGGATCTGTAACAAGCAAACAAATGCTCTCAGAGTATGAATTTTATTATAAAAATGATAAAGGCAAGGTTATTAACGATATTGCAAAATTTAATGTACTAATTACAACCTTTGAAATGATTGTGACCGATTATGCCGATTTGAAGAATTTTAATTGGAGGGTTTGTGTAATAGACGAAGCACACAGGCTTAAAAATCGTAATTGCAAATTGTTGGAAGGTTTAAGACAACTACATCTTGAACATAGAGTTTTACTCTCCGGAACCCCATTGCAAAACAATATTAGTGAATTATTTTCCTTATTGAATTTCCTAGAACCTAATCAATTTTCATGTGCAGAAACATTTTTAAAAGAGTTCGGAAGTTTAAAAACAGAAGACGAAGTTAATAAATTACAAGCACTTTTGAAACCAATGATGTTAAGAAGATTGAAAGATGATGTAGAGAAATCTTTAGCTCCAAAAGAAGAAACAATTGTCGAAGTGGAATTAACAAATATACAAAAGAAATACTACCGCGGTATATTGGAAGCAAACTTTTCATTTTTAAAGAAAGGTACAACATCTGCGAATATTCCAAATTTAATGAATACTATGATGGAACTGAGAAAATGTTGCATACATCCATATTTATTAAACGGAGCCGAAGATCAGATTCAATATGATCATAGACTTCAGCATGGCGAAGATCATGAGGCTTATTATAAAAATTTAATAGCATCAGCAGGAAAAATGGTTCTGATAGATAAATTGTTGCCGAAATTAAAAGCTAATGGACATAGAGTTTTAATTTTTAGTCAAATGGTGCGATGTTTAGATATTTTAGAGGATTATTTAATGTATAAAAAATATACATTTGAGAGAATTGATGGCAGAATTCGCGGAAATCTTCGTCAAGCTGCTATTGATCGGTTTTCTAGACCAGATTCTGATAGATTTGTATTTCTATTATGTACAAAAGCTGGTGGATTAGGTATTAATTTAACAGCAGCTGATACTGTAATAATTTATGATAGTGATTGGAATCCACAAAATGATTTACAAGCTCAAGCTCGCTGCCATCGTATTGGCCAACAAAAAATGGTGAAAATTTATAGACTCCTTTGTCGTAATACATATGAACGTGAAATGTTTGATAAAGCTTCCTTAAAACTGGGTTTGGATAAGGCTGTACTGCAAAGTATGAATACAGTGCAAGGAGGGAAAGATAGTAGTAACAGACAACTTTCCAAAAAAGAAATAGAAGATCTTCTTAAAAAAGGAGCTTATGGGGCCGTAATGGACGACGATAATGCAGGTGATAAATTTTGCGAAGAGGATATTGATTCAATATTACGGCGACGTACTCAGGTTATAACAATGGAAAGCGAAAAAGGTTCTACTTTCTCAAAAGCTTCATTTGCTGCTAGTGGCAATCGTTCTGACATCAAAATTGATGATCCCGATTTCTGGAACAAATGGGCGAAAAAAGCTGATATAGATCCTGATGCACCAGAAAAAGATGAAAATGATGAATTAGTTTTATCTGAACCTCGCAGAAGAACTCAAATTAGAAGATACGGACATGAAGATGTAGTCGATATGTCCGGTGACTCTTCTAATGATAATAGTGACGAAGACAGTATCGGTAAATTGGATTTGCAAAATTTTTATGCACAGTGTTACTAAAAAATTAATGTTTCTTATTAATTTAAAGGTTTGAGAAGTAGAAGAAGAAAAGAAAAGTTAGCTAAGCGCAGATTGAATAATGAAGACTATATCCCAAGAGAGAGAGATACTTTAGCTGCATTAGGAATGGAGGAAGTTCAGTATGGAAACTGGGCAAAATCAGAATGTTTTAAAGTTGAAAAAGGTTTATTATCATTTGGGTAAGTTTTTATTTCAAAAGTTGTTAATAAAAATCCTTTAGCAAAGAAGTTCTTAGTTTAAAAAGACAGTGTGCCACATTTTTTATTCTCTTCCATTAATTTTGCTTTGACATTTTTAAATTTTAATTTTGAGACGCAAACTTGACGAATTAAAACTTTTTCATTTTTTTGCAACTGTATAAGAGTTTGTTTTTGTTCAATATAATCAACAATAGTTGGTGCTTCAAACTTTAATATTGTTTCTTCGACTGATCGATTATTAGAGTCTATTTCATCTATGTCTTTTTCTATTTCTAATATTTCGCGTTCCATTTGGTTAATATTTCTGGTATAATTATTTATTTTTTCTGTAACACACTTTATTTCAAATTTTAATTGTTTAAGAATATAACGTTGAGCAACCAAAGCATTTGAGCCTTCTCTACAGTTGCATTTAATTTTAGCCAAAAGAATATCAAGGTCTTTTACTTCTTTAATAAAAGAATTTCGGCGTATTTTAATTTGCTCATAATCAGCTGGAGCTATCATTCCGTATAAATCACCTTTTTTAGATATTAATGTTTTTAGTTTATATGATTTCTTCTGTAGTGTTTCGATTTGTAGCCTTAATTTGTTTATTGTTTCCATAGCATTTTCATTCCATAATCTAAAAAATTTATTAAAAGTATTTTCAGGAATTTTACCTTGTGGATTTAACCCTATATTAATAACTGTTTTTTGAAAATTATGCATTGTATTGCTTATGTCATTATAGAAGTCGTGAAGCTTTCCAATTTCAGCTCGTAATGTCTCAAATTTGGACAATGCATGGAGTTTTTCCTTTTCCAATTTTTTCCTTAGGTCGATTAGATGTTTCTCACAAATTTCAGATTTAATATTATAATTTAAATAATGTGGGCGGTCACCTGCTGAAACTGTCGAACCAATTGACATTGTGCTTGTTTTACTCATTGAATAAGTAGAATTTGTTTTTGACAAAGAATAAATGGAACCGGTTGGTGTTAGGGAATGAAATGAAGCAACAGTTTTTTTGTTTGCGAATTTAATTTTTTGTGTTCGCTTGTCTTTTTTTTGTTCTTCTGATGTTTCTTGTAACCCAGTTAAATATTTTGGATCATTTTTATTCAAAAACTGTTCCATTATGATATTTTCTAATTTAATTAAACCTAACTTTTGTTCTAATTTTTTGATTACGTTAAAAAAATTTAAAGAATCCATATGTTGAAATTTTTTGGTAATTTCATTTTTATCTTTCACATTAAGTAGAGTCTTTGCGAGTAAAATTTCTTGTATAATTTCATCTAAAATATATAATTGCATTTTGTCCTTAGTTTGAATTTTTAAAAGATTATAATTAAATAAAATATAATTGAACATATTTGACTTGTAAATAAAAAAATTTTTAATAATGTATTCATATTTCATTCAAAATAATTTAAATCTATAAATATTTATTTATTTAAATACATATGTACATACATATTTATTTAAACTTTATTAACTTATTCTTTTATTTCTAGATGGGGAAGATGGCCTGAAATTCTCGAATTAGGGCAATTCAAAAGAGGTTGGGTTGAAAAAGATGTTGAAGATTGTGCAAGAATTATAGTAAGTAAGACAAAGTTAGATTTTGTATATAATAAATACATAATATTTTTATAAAAATTAATTTTAAAATGATGACTTGCTATGCTAATATTGAGATAAACTTTAGGTTTTCGCTGAATTAAAAGAAATAAAACTGATTTATGATTTCGAAATTTTATAATTAAAAAATTATGATTAAAAATTATAAGACTTATTAAATTAAATGTACATAGTATGGATTTACATGTTAATATTTTTTTTAGCTTCTATATTGTCTCGTCGTGTATAAGGGGGATGAAAAAATCAAAACATTTATTTGGGATCTTATTACACCAACTGAAGATGGGGAACTTCAAAAGATTAGCAGAGATCATAGTGGTCTGCATAATCTTGTACCAAGAGGTAGAAATGCTAAAGGTTACTGTCAATAAAATATTTTTATTTTGAAATTGAAATGTATTTTCAATTGTTACTACATACATATGTATTTTAAAACATTTTAGGGCGGAATGGTGGTAAAACACAGGGAGGTAAAGAAATTCCTGAATTAAAAATTGAAAAAGAAATTCCTAAAGAAGATCAAATTGATCCAAACCATTGGAGTAGACAAGAAAAATATGATGCCGAAAGTTTCTTAGAAGGTGCATATAAGAAACATTTAGGGCGTCACGCCAATAAGTGAGTCGTGTGGAATCGAAAATTTTCATAAAATTTTTGCTACAAATTATTAATTATTGTTTTACATTTTATAGAGTCTTATTACGAGTAAGATTATTGTATTATATACAACATGAAGTTATTGGTGATTTAGTCCAACAAATTAAAGATGGTATTAATATCAGGTAATACAAGAATGTTTTATGTTAAAGTTTTTCATTTTGCTTGAAGAATTCACTTTAATAATTTTACAATTCTTGAAATCTAAATTTAATTAAGAATTTTTTTTGAAAATTTATTCTTTTTTAATTTATAAAATTTTGATCGTATTTTAATCTTCAAGCGAAATTGAAAAATGGGTTTTCCAAACTGAACTTATTTTTAATATTTAAATAAAAACTTAAATATTTCATTAAAAAATCATTGCATTTTAATATGAAAATCAGTTCATTTTTAAATTGAAATGGGAATCTATGTTTCATCTCTAATTCTCGTTTTTTTTTTTTTTTGTATATTTATTAACTTTATAAATTTTTTTTTGTAAGTGTGTATTTATATTAAAGTTGTAGTCGCTTATGAAAGTACTTCATAATTCCACTGATACTTCATTTAATTTTTATTAATTCATATTTTTTATATAGAAAGAGCTCAGTTCAAAAAAGTTAATGAATTATGCAACAGAAATTTCTTAGTTCTTTTTCTTTTAACAAGCGGAAGAATGATATTTTTTTGTTTTTCCTGATGTTTGTTTATTTTCAATGTTCATGTTTCATTTGAATATTTATTACAAACTGGATACAAACTTTGATTGAACAAATTGTTGTTATGTTTAAAAATTTATTTAATTTTCATTAATAAAATCATAACAATTTACTATATGTATATATAAATAAAGTATTCATAACTGATTAAAAAATGGTTTAATTTGTTAAAACTTAGCAGTATGACGTATCTGGCTTGTAATAAAATTGTATAAATCCTCTTTTTGATTAAATATTTCAATTCCTTTTTTTAAATTTTTAAGCACGATATTTGTTTTATTGTTTTTCATTATTATTTCGTATTTTTTTTTAATATAAAGTCAAAAACAGAAGTAAGTTACAACTAATCTGTAAGAGTCTGTTAAATTTTTAAGCAATCCCAAAATCGGCTTTTAAAATTGTTAAACGTTTAGATTTCCAACAAAATTTCATGTCAAACTTAAGAAAAATATTATTTTTTGATAATTTTTCCGCGAATATGATAAATTCCTCAGAGTTTAGATATTTTTTCGTACTTCACTCTTACTAATGTAAGTACGGTTGGTTCCTCGTTAAATTAAAAACTTGCATTCCAATTAAATTTTCTAATATATGTGTAAATTTTCTGTTTGATTGCTATTTGTGTTCTTCTCAATTTTTTTTTTTTACATAAAAAAAATCATTTTCTTGAGAAAAGATCAGTGTAGGGAAAAGTAAAAAATTTTTGTAAATGTTAATTTTGGCAACTCACCACTAATAAAAACTATAAATAAAACAATTAAAATTAAAACAATTTTTTTAGTAGTTAAATAAGTTTAGAGTACAAACTAATAAATAAAAGAACAAAATGTTAAACCATACTTAAAAGATTCCAGTTGTTAATATTGCTAACATCCCGCAATACTTCCCAAGACATCACATTGTTTTAAATGCTAGTCATAATATTATTGTAATACTATACAATTCTGCTTTCATATTTTAATAAAATTGCAATTTGATTCTTTTTAGCAGTAATTAAATGATTTATAATATATAGAACGTCATTTTTTTTTATAAATGTTGATTGTAAAATTTCCTAACCTTCCTTTCATTTCTAGTTGATCTTCAGTTTAAATAAATCATACCTTTAATCTTTGAAATTTATTTGATCATATTATTACAATTTTTCTTAAATTTTCTTTACTTTTCAGTATGATTTTATTATTTTTTAATTTTTCTGCCTGAGGGATTTATAGCTTGTATTTGTAACATTCATTGTTGTATATTGTAAGGCTTACTTTTGTATGTTAAAGTTATGAAATTGTGTTTCAAAAGTTCGATATTTTGCAATTATAGTTATTTTAATTATAAACAATTTGGATTTTTATCGAAATTTTAAAATAAATTATATTATATAGAATGAAATAGGGAATTATAGGCGTAATAGTGAACTAGTAGAAATATACTGCTGCTACTAGAAAAGAAAAATTTATAGAAGAATAGCTAATTTAACATTGTTTCAACTAATTACATCAAGTATAACTAAGCACAAATTAGTTACTGTTATAATATTTTTAAGATTGTTGAAAAATCTTTTAAAATAGTAACGATTAGGTTAACGTTCAGAAATATAAGCATGTAGCCTACTATAACTACGATTGACAGTTTTTTTTAGACTTGTAATTTTTCTGTAATTGTCGTATTAAAACTATGACATTTAGCTGTTGATTTTGACGAATATTACATGAGTTCTGGTGAGGTTTAATGAAAAATTTGAATGAACGTCGATTAAGGTTGGTTTATTAGATATTATGTAAAAAAAATTATATTCATTTTGGCGAATAGGGCGTTCACATTATAAATTTCTTTACATAATTTTTTTAATGTTTTAAAATAGAGAATTGGCATAAAATAAACTGTACCACCGAATCGTCAGTTATTGTTACCAGTTATATAACAATTGAACTGAGTAAAACAAAAAAAATTAAGAAGTACTTTCAAATTTTGTATACAATATTCTTAAGTTTTACAACATACAAAAAAAAATGGAAAAAATTTTTTTGCAATTATACGATTCGGTTGTATAAACATTATATTTAACTATTTTTTTTTTATTTTTTCAAAATAAATTTTTTCAAAATTATTTGTTTTTAATATTTTTGTATTTTTTTTTATTTTATTTCATTTGTAATTGATTTTTATCTAAAACGCTGATGATTGATGATGATTTCTTAATATAAAAAAATTCAATATTGTTAATGTGCTTGAAAAAAACAAAAATAAATTAAATATAGTGAGATCCCTATTCGCCCTCCAACAACACCTGATCAAGTACCAGCTGTTTGGTGGAATCAAAATTGCTGTGACAAAAGTTTACTAGTTGGAACATTTAAACATGGTTGTGAAATGTATAGACTTATTAGATCTGATACAACATTATGTTTTCATACACATATTGGTGCTGGTGATGATGCTTCTAATACAATCACAAAGTAAGTGTTGATCGTAAAAAATATCTATAATGTTTTTTTCAATAATAAATTTATTTGCAATGAAACAAAAAAAAAATTAAAAGATTTTTTTTTTTGTTTTTAAACGTCAAAATTTTTTTTTTCAATCCTTGTTCTTCAAATTACGGTTTCTTATAGGTTTTTTAAAAAATGAAACTAAAATATTGTTAGGCAGCCTAAAAATATTGCATTTTTAATTGTATGCACAAATACTATCTAAAGTTAAAACATATTTTTTTAGACAAAATAAATTTTGCATGCATAAATTTTCTTTTAATTTTTTATTTCTTTTTCAAATAAAAATTTAATTTCAACTTTTCATCATACTTCCTCAAACATCCGCTCATTTTTTCATTAAAATTATTTTTTTACATGAAATAATTTATATCGTTTTTTTTAACTTAGTGTGAAACATAACTTAATAATTTTGGTTTTTTCTTTTACTTTTATTTTTACAGCGTTGAAGATGATTCAAAACTGGGTGAAGATAACGAGGAGCCAGATGAAGATGGAAACGCCACAAAAGATTCAGATTCAGTTAAACAAAATCCAGAAAATTCTAATAATTTACAACTGAAATCGCAAATCGTAGAAGGTGAAAATGAAAGACCAAGTTCATCTGGTAAGTTGATTTCATATTATTTTATTATTACTTTATTATTGCCTGAATGAAGTGACTATATAATATGCGTTTAAGTGATAATAAACAAAATTTTTTAATTCTCATTTTTATAATATTTGATTTTCATTTAATTTTTTTTTCTATTTAAAGGGCTAGAAGAAGAAGAAAGTGGAACAGGAAGCTATCCACCTACAAATCTACCACCTGCTGATGAAAATGCATGGCCCTCGATGCAAGATCTAAATACTCGACTAAGGAGAGTTATAACGTCATACCAAAGAAATTATAAAAAAGAAGAATTAAAGATGCAACAGAAAGCTAAAGTAAGTTATTTTAAAATTTTTGGTATTGTAATAATATTTTTTTATCTTCAAATTTGGTAAAAATAATACATATTACAAACTTTTTGTTAATTATACGACAAATATACGTGCTAGAAGGCACATGGTTTACAGTTTTTTTTTATTTATTCTTATAATTTCAAATTTAATTTAGATCTATATTTCCAAATTGTGTAGATTTGAACTAGTTTAAACAAATATAAATCTTTTTTAATTTTTTGTGTAGATAACTATTTATTATTTTATGTTGTTATTTCGTTTATGACAATTGGTTATGTTTTTATTTTTTATTTTTAAAAACAAAGTCTAGTTTTTATTTTTTTTTTTTTTTTTGGGGGGATAAATTTTGAATTTTTGCACTGTAAATTATATATTTTTTTCCAAATTACTTTATTAGTGTGTATTCTGCACGTATACTTTTATTTTAACATAATTTCTTAATTTTGGACAAATAGTATTAAAAAAAAATAAAGATGAAAAAATACAAAACTGCTCCCCTTTTCATAAAATTTTCCTATATACATATATTTTGTAAAAAATCTTAAATACTTCACTTTTTACCACTAATGCTTGCTAAAAACAAAAATAGTTACAAGCGTTGGTTACTGCACCACCACAATTACCTTCGCAAAATGGATCTGGAATTAGTGGGGTTCAAATAAGCTTACCACAAGGGCCACTACAAAATATTAATCAGACTCAACAGCAATTACAGCAACAGCAGCAACAACAACAACAACAACAGCATATTCAACAACAGCAGTTGCTGCAACAACAACAACAACAGCAACAACCTCAACAGCCGCAATCTGCAATGCCATCAGTACATCAGCAATTAAACTCACAACAAATGGGTAATTTGCCAATATCTGGTTTAAATGTTGCTGGACCTCCTACAGGAACGGGAGCTTTAGTTGGTCAATCTGGTACTGTAATAATTGGTACACCGTCTGGGGGTTCAAGTGGTATGAATCCGATTACATCAACAAACCCAACAAATATCCAAAATCCTAATCAAAATATAATGAATGTAGCACAAAGTAGTGGTAATGTTATCGGCAATAATTCAATGCAACAAACAAATTCTCAAAATATATTACAACAAACATCACAAGCACCACAAACAAGTCAATCGAAAATAATACCTTCCCAGCAACAGCAACAACCATCAACGCAACTTCAACAGCAGCAGCAGCTTCAACAACATAATCAACAACAACAACAGCAACAACAACACCAACATCAGCAACAGCAGCAACAACAGCAGCAACAACAACAGCAACAACAACAATCACATGCTGCCTTAGCCGCTGCCATTGCTTCTTTATCAGGAAATCAAATAACAACTGCAGCTGATATCGGACTAATGTTGAGTTTATTGAATCCTAATGATGCCAGCCAATTGGCCAATTTGGATCTCAATAAATTGGCTATGTACTTGGTTAGTATCAGAATTCAAAACAAAAAAAAAAACAAAAAAATTGTTATTTTTACATTTTATAAAATTAAATGGAAAATGAAGCTTAATGCATATTTTTGTTTACATTTTAATCGTTTAATGCATTATCAAAGAAAAACTTTACATACATGCTTAGAATTTTTATTGCAAAAATTTCATCCTAGAATTTTATTATCTTGATATTGTCATTTGCATTATGTTTTTTTTTAACATTTTAACAACATATTTGCATAATAAAATTATGCGTTTTCTGTTAGAAGTAATTATTATTATTTTTTATTTATTTGCAAGCAAAAAAAAATCGTTGAATTGCATTTAATTTATTGGTTTCGTTCACATTATTGCAATGGAAGAGATGTTAGCCATACTTTATTTCTGTAAAATTTTGTTCATTTGACACCTAATTACAGTTGATTATTAATATTTCGTATGGTGAAAAATAGTGTTTTCTTTGAAAAAAAAAAAATACAACTTTAGTTATAATTTTTTAAACAAAAAAGACCAGTTCAAACAATATAATTACAGCAACTTAATAAAATAAAGCAAAATTAAAACATGATTATTTTACTGAAAATTTTTTGAATAATAAAATCGCACGATTTTAAAAACAAAAATTTCGTTTTTTAGATAACTGTGATATAAGGGAAAAGGAAATGGACATGAAAATTTTTTTTCATTTACATTAGTTTAAAGAGTAGAATTTTGTAAAATACTCTCAAATTGTTGATGTACAAGAAGTTCGTAGTTTTAAAAAAATTTGTGCGTTACGTATTGTATTTTTTTGTATTTTTGTATTCTATTTTTTAGTAAATTTTCTCGTGTGTGCATGTTTTTAAACATTTTTAAAAGCCCATTAAGAGAGTTTAAAAGCTGTTAATATTTAGGTGTAATCGACGATGTCAAATGCCTGCAACAACAATTGCATTTGACGCTTACCAACTGGCAATCAACACTTTATGCTAAAAGACCTTTACATATTAATTTCGTATACAACTCTTGCATCCAACCAGTTGACAAATTATTGTTTGATGTCAATATTTCTAGAACTAAATTTTACATAATAAAATTACTTATCCTCCTCAAAATTTTTCATTAAAAAACAAAATCAGCAATTAAAATTTTATTTGCAAGTTTTTATTACAAAAACGCCCAAAAATTTTAATTTGCTTTTTGCATTATCGGTTACACTACAAATGCACAAATCTGTTGCGAACCATTAAAAATTACAATACTTTCGCATTATCAATTAAGATTCAAAAGAATTCAATTTGCATTTTGCATTATTTAATACACTGTTTCTCATTGTGCTTTTGAAATAAGTACTGCATCTCATCATTTTAAATGTAATTATTGTTTTATATCAAAATTTTGTAGAACTTTTCAACGAAAACTTTTTAAATTTATTTTTTAAAATTTCTTATAATTCATTTTACTTTATTTGTTTAACATTTTAATAATATTAATTACTTAAATGTGAATATCTGTACATAAAATTTAAAGAAGTTTGTATTAACTAATTATAATATGTAACTGCTGTACTACATGTTATTGCAGGGGTTGTGTATTTGAGATACAGTACTCGTCACGAATATTGCTTTACGTAATTTTTTTTTTTTGGTAATGAAGCGGGTTTAGTTCTAAGTATTTCATAGATAAAATATCTTTTTCAAGATTTGAAATTAAAACATGCACTTATTAGTTGACTTACAATATTTCTGTTGGTAAATTATTTCACGAACACATGCTATCTAGTTTCTTATAACATTTAGTGTATATATATAAATAAAAAATAATTTTTAATTACTAATTTTTGTTGTTAATCAAACACATATAAATGTGTTTTTATAATTTTGTTTGTATAATATTTTTTTTTGTATAATGGAAATTTTCTCTTTCTCTAGAAAATGGAACGCCAAGGTAAACTTGAACAACAAGCTAAAGAACGTGAAAGACAGAGATTTGAGAGTATACCAAAAAAATGGAATCGCCGTGAGGAATATGAATTTTTAAGAGTTCTAACAGGCTATGGCATAGATGTTCATCAGCATTCAAATACAGTTATAGCTCCTGATTGGTCTAAATTTAAACAAATGGCTAATTTACAGCGTAAGTCCGATGAAACTTTAAATGATTATTATAAAGTATTTATTGCAATGTGCAAAAGAGTTGCTGGAGTAAAGTTAAGCGAAAATGAAAAAGGTTTAGAAGGTATTATAGAAGACATTAGTGAAGATCATGCAAAACTTATCTTAGATAGATTAGAACTATTGTCTAAGCTTAGAGAAGTATCAAAACATCCCGGGTTAGATCAAAGTCTGAAATTATGTATGAATAATTTCGATACACCAGATTGGTGGGAATCCGGTAAACATGATAAAGAATTGGTGGCAGCTGTGTTAAAGCATGGTCTTTATAGATCCAATTGTTTCATATTTAACGATCCGACATTTAGCTTTAGTGAATCTATTAAGCGTTTCGAAAAAGAATTAGAGGCACAACTTCAAAAATCCATTAAGGTTGACGTATCGTCTATTTCGCCAACTGTTCCTGAGGTGGAGTTAGAAGAAAGATTGTCGAAAAAAGAAGACATCAAACCAGATTCTAGTCCAGAAGGACTTATTAAATGTAAATTAGAAGAAGTTGAAAATCTGAACGAAGAAAAAGCAGATATAACAGCAGTAAAAATTGAAAAAACGGAGTCTGAGTCGGAAAACAAAGAAGAGAAGGAGAAAAATGATTCAAAAAAAACAGAAGAAACAGTAATTGAAAAAACTGAAGAAACTGTAAAAGCAAAAGAAGGAGAAAATTCTGAAATTTCTTCTAAAAATAAGGAAAATGATAATGACGGTGAACTTGATAACGAAAAAGAAAAACTAGAAAAGGAGAATGAAACTGATGAGACAAATGATAACAATTCAAAGAATGAAGACAAAAAGACTGACTTGGAAAAAGCTGATAACAAAATGTCTGGAGAACATGTAACAGAGAAGGCTGACGAAGAAAAGAAAGAGGAAAATGAAAAAACAGGTAAAGAAAATGTAGAAGACGCTGCGACTGAAGATGAGGTTTGTATTGTTAAAGAAAGCAATAACACAGAAAAGTTAAATGAATCAAAAGAAGAGTCAAGAGAAATTCTAAATGAAGAAGAAAAACAAAGCGAAAGTACAAAATCTGAGCCAATAGCTGAAGAAGTGAAAACTTACGAAAGCATTGATTTAGTGTCGCCTATTGGAAATGGAGATCCCGATGATGACGAAGTCATGAAAGAAAAAGAAAAAGCAGTTGAAGAAGAATGTAAAAAACAGGCTGCGGAACTCAAAGCAAGATTTCCAGACTTGGAAGTTATTCAACCGCAAGTAAAATGTAAAGTCGAAAAAGAAAAACCCAAAGTTGAAAACATGATGCTTGTACGTTGGTTCAAAGATTTTGCTTTGGAAAAAAGAATTTCACACATTATAACATGTGTGGAAAAAGGAGAGTGGCCTGTTGGAAAAAATTATTCTGCCTACACAGGATGTCAAGGTGTTGATTTAGATATTCCTTTACATGAAACAATTATGCATATGAATTTAACTGAACGTCAATCTATCACACCTGATATCATTACAATTACAACTGATCAAGGTGTGTCAAAACATTTACAAAACCAACTTTCCGCGCCATCGCCGGTTATTCCTGGGATTCCTAGTACTAGTGGATTAATAAGTCCTATCTTACCCACTACGCCATTGCAGAATCCTAGTAATTTAAATAAAACAAATAACATTAATCAAAATCCAAACCCTAGTATTAATAGCAATAACAACACTAATAATAACCCAAATCCGTCCGCAATACCTGGACAATCAAATATGAATACACCTCCTGTACCTCCAGTTATAAACCAAATTCCCGTTGTTCCTGCACCGCCTAGCGCTCAAAGTACGCCAAATACAACTCCAGCTACGTCAACGGGCAACAGTGGCAAGAAAAGGAAGAGACACATTGCTATTGATGTGGAAACGGAACGGGCTAAATTACACGCTTTACTAAATAGCAGTCAGGTTACGAGTAAGTTATTTTATTTATTTATTTATTTGTTTAATTTTTTTTATTAATTTAATGTATTTCGCTAGTTACGCCCCCCAAACAAAATTGGGATGAAGAAGCTCCAAGTGAGACGTCTTCGTCGAGAAAGAATACCCCGTCATTACCATTGCAGCCGCCTCCGGCTCATCAGCATCAATCTTTAAGTAGACAGCCAACAATGCCTTTTAATAAACCCACGTCAACTAAGACTCAACAGTCGTCAATGGGGGCTATTGATTTATCCGCTAGGTAAGTTTTTTTTTTCCTTCAGATTTATGCAGGTTTTTATTTAATTGCCTTTGGTATTTCAGCCTACCTTACAGTATTCCGAAAATGAATGTCGCTGATATGCTAAAATCTCCAATTGATTTAAGTGAAGTGCAAGATTTTTCAATGAGCTCTAAGAAATCGTCAAATATTTTATCATCTCCAATGCCTAGTCCTGCATCAACAGCACCCAGCAAAGGAAAGTTAGATGACACATTATCAAAATTAATGAAGAAAAATAATTGTGTAAGTATTAATCCTTACTTTGAAATTTTTATTTTTAAAAATCAATATTCACTATTTTGTTATGAAACCAATAACATAGACATTGGAGGAACCTGTTGTTGGTAAAGAGAAGAAACGAAAGAAGCTGGATGAAATAGTTTTGGGATTGTCAGCAGCTAAGGAACAGAAAACGTTCCCGGATCCGTCATTACCATCATCCAAAAAACCGCAAATAGCACCTAGCGTCACTGTCACGCCAGCTAATATGCCAGTTTCTTCATCTCAAAATGCGAATAACCAAAAGCCATTCTCTATTACCGTGACAAGTGTTCCGGGAAGTATGTAACTTTTAATCTAGATTGACAAAATTTTAATATTTCTCGTTGTAAGATCAATATTCAATTAATATTTTTTTTGTAGGGAGCTCACAATCTTCAAAATCATCTAATCAAGCGCAGGCCTCGTCTTCGAATTCACAATCTGGTTTAGCAGCTCTTCAAAATATGGCAATGGGGGGTGCTGGTTCTTCTAAAGATAATTTGACAGCCTTTTTGGCTCAAACTATGTCACAAGATCCACAAACTTTCTTAAAACAACAACAAAAAATGATGCAATCTTTGCCTGCTTCACAAAGGAAAGCCTATGAAGGAATGCTAGCTGATATGAAGCAAGCCATGGAAATGACGTAATTTTTATAAAAATAGGTATGTCCGGTCATTGTCTAAATTAAATATTTTAACTTTCAGCGCGAAATATACACCGCATGATGCTAAAGTGAATAAATGGCTAGCAGAGCAGAACGCTGCCCTCAATGAGCAATTAAATTTAGAATATAGACGCTCTACACGGCAACATAGCTCTTCCGGTCAATCACAAAAATCGTCCCAACAGCAACAACAGCATCAACAGCAACAGCAACAACAACAACAACAGCAACAACAACAGCAGCAACAACAATTGCAACAACAACATCAAGATTCGCATTCACATTCACAAAGGCAATCAGAATCAAGTTCAAGACAACAGGAATCGCAGCGTCAGCACGAACAGCGTCATCAGCAGCAGAATCAACCACTGACGCCACAAAACTTAACTGGTGAAGAAGCTGTTCCAGTTATTCATAAACAAACCGGAAAAAGGCTTAGTGGCAGTAAAGCACCGCAATTAAAACGTTTGATGCAGTGGTAATGATACATATCTGCATATTTCATGACATTTTTACATAATTTATATGTGCAAACATAATTACTATTACTTTTGGTTAATAAACATTTGTTATTAGCCAAAAGTAATAAAATTTTCTTGTATAATAAAATTTTAAAAATTTTAATATACAAGAAAATTAATAGGCACCATGCAATTTTTAATTGAATTTTTTTTTATTTATTTTTGAAAAAACATAAAATTTTATGTTAAATTTAATAACAAAAATAAGTTTTCACCAGTTTTGTATTTCGTGTAAATAGATTGTAAAACAGTTTTTAATACTTGCAGGTTGAGCGAAAATCCAGCGTATGAAGTTGACCCTAAATGGTTGGAAATGATGCAAAATCCAATGTCTGCACCATCCCCTAAACCATCACCCGTGGATAATACCTCTAGTAAATCGCATAGTGGCGGTAGACCATCATCGACGTCTAGCAATACTTCATCTAGCGGTATGCCCTCACAACAGCCACAAAGTCAACAGTCGTCTTCTAAGAAATCACGTTCTTCGACAAGTGGGTTAGACGCTACGGCTATGCAATTCGCTAGTTTGGCTGGATTAAACCCCAACCTTCTATCTGGTCTGCCAGGGCTAGGAGCTTTTGATCCAAAGAATCCGTTGTTGATGCCATTTGCGGGAATGCCAGGCCTAGGCTCTTTAAGTGGGCTTGGTAATTTGAATAATATGAATTTATTTGCAAATTTGGCTGGTTTAGGTGGTCTTGGTAATTTAGCTGGAATGGATACACAAAGCTTGGCAGCATTAATGGCAGCAGCAGGCACTACTGGTTTGGGTGGTTTATCTGGTGTTGGCAATACTGGTTCAGGTTTATCTAAATCAAGTAGCTCTCAAGGAAGCTCAAGTAAAAAACAGAAATTAGATTCTAATCAACAACAAAGTAGTAGCTCATCAAATCAAAGCAGCTCAGGAAAAATGTCCACTTCAAATTCTTCTACTTTGTCAAATTCAAATTCTAGTGCAACAAATTCTGCCGCAAATTCAGCTTTCCCATTTTTGTTTCCCAATCCAGGACTTTTATATCCGCCTTTAGGACTAGGGGGTTTGAATCCTTATTCGCTTAGTTCAGCTAGCCTATCAGCTTATGATCAATTAGCGCAACAATATAGCTTGTTAAACGGTGGTCAAGGTAATAATAGTGGACCAACATCAAGTTCCAATTCAGGAAATAGTTCTCGGCAATCTCAAAGTAAGTCTAGCTCCTCAAGATCAGGAAGTAGTGCTTTAGGTTCGAACTCGCATTCTAATAATAGTGGTGGAAATTCATCATCCAGTAGTCGGAACCGTGGCTCGGCCTCAAGTCGAAACACTTCTGAATCATCGCAGTTGTCTAGTTTATTGATGTCAAATACTGATACACATTTATTAGAGTCTTTAAGTAGAATGACTGGAATGGACATTGCACAAGCATCTAAATTAATGCAACAAATGGGAGGTTTACCTTCAACCTCACAAGGAAATTCAAGTTCCGAGAAACGTTCAAGTTCTTTGTCTTCGTTGGCGAAACAACAAGAAGCTTTAGAAAGACAAGCGGCGAAGGAACAACAAAAGTGGATGGAAAGCCTAGCCAGAGGATTGCAACCCGATTTAGCTACGTTGCAAGCGTTTTCTCAAGGTAATAAAACTTTTTTTGTATTTTAGAATTTTCCTTATTCAATTTATTGTAAAATAATTGTAAACTAAAATCAAAATGTTCTGTGCAGGAAAAATGCCATCCCTGTCATCAAGTGGTTCTTCAAGCAAAAGTGGTTCTTCGAAAAGCAATCAAAATGCTGCAGCTGCTGCAGCTGCGGCAGCAGCAGCCGCTATGTCTTCACTACCCTTACCTTCAAATGACTTCAGTTCTGCACTTTTAGCTGAAATGGCTCAAGCTATGGCAGCTGTTGAAAGAGGATCTAACCCTGGAATATCCTCCAATTCAAGTAATTCTGGAAATTCAATGTCGGGACCATCTTCGTCTTCATCTAGCAAACGAAATCGCGACCAAGAAATGAAAGACGCTTTTGAACAATTTAGTAAGCAGCAAATGGATCTTTACACAAGAACGTTAGGGTTAGGTTCTGGTATCTCATTAATTCCTACGTCTTCCATGGGTAGTAACGACGATCATCATAAGTCAAAAAGATCCCGCAATGACTCTTATACGTCATCTAGTAACACAAAAGATGAATTAACTGCGATTCCACTCAATTTGGGTGGTCTTGATAAAAGCCATGGTCGCCATTCTAGTGATTCACATAATATGGATAAAGTAACTTTAACGCCGGTTGCAGCAGCAGCTAGTATAGCAGCTAATTTACCTTCGCAAACCACGATAACCATAGCCCCGCCTATTGGCTCTGGTGCTAGCTCTAGTAGCGAAAGGAGTGAACGTAGTGAATCTGGTCGTAGTAGTTTGACTATAACTGAAGCATCAACTGGTAAACAGGTTCCAATCGATACTGAGTTAGAAGAACTATCCATACAAAATTTACGCGATGTTGCGAAAAAACAACAACAACAATCACAGCAACAATCTCCATCGGGCAGTACTATAGATTTATGTAAAAATATTTCGGAAAAGCGATATAATGAGCCACACACTGATTCCAGAGGAGAACGTGAATCAAGCAGGCGTAATGACTCATATCAACAGCACAATGAACAATATTCGGATGATACACCTACGTCACGGCATGAATCAAAAGATCATCATCGTAGCTCCTCCGATCATCATCGCAGTAGTACCTCAGATCATCATCGTTCTTCTGAATCATCGTCAACAAGTGATCATCATGAGACACATGAAACTGGTCGTAGATCTTCTGGTAGATTAAAACGCCCACGCTCCGGAGGGGTAGATAATACTAATATGGATCCCCCAGCAGAAAAACGTAGTTTAAGAGAATTACGTTCAACCCGTTCAACAAGACAAAGTGAGAGACACAATGAAAGTTTAAATTTATCAACAGGGAATAGCTCCCATAATGATGATTGAGATTTAAGGAAATTTAGGAACAATAGAAATTTAAATAGGAGGAAATAATTTTAAATTGAAGTATTGTTTATAACATAATTATTTGATATAGACGAATGCATAATGAAAAAAAAACAACATATTTATTAATTCCAACTATAAAAGTTTTAAAAAATTTTTCAATAATATTCTCATTACCTTTTTTGCCTAAATTGTGTATGTGTGTTTTTTTATGGGTCTTTAACAATTCTTTATTTTTGTAAGAAACAAAAGTGGTAAAGAAATGGAAGCTCTTGGGAACCAAGCTTGTGTTACGATAAAATCTAAATTAATTTATTATGACTTTCAAAATTGCAAAATTTCACATTACTTAACTTATTAAAAAAATAAATTTTATGTTATAAAATTATTGAATTAAAATACACAAATGCGCTGTTGCGAATTTGATAACTTATATATAACTTTTTATAAAATATTTAAATGATGACTGTTAAAAACTAGGTACTCTAATTAATTTTGATTAATAAAAAAAAACATAAAATAAAGGGCCTCTTATTGAATCCCTATTTATTTTGATATATAAAAAATTAATTGTGTTTCATTGTCAATAACAAAATGTAAAACATTTATAAATGAAATAACACAGAAAATATAAGTATAAAAATAATTAATTAATTAATTGTTTAATTACGTTTTGATATTATTTATATCTGTCATTCAAAGACAGTATAGAATAAGATTAATTATATATTTTTTTAGGTTATTAGCGAAATAACACTAAAATTTTATAAAATAATTTTGCATTAAATTTTCAAAATAAAAAAGTTTACGAAAAGTTTATTTCATAATTTGAAAAAAATTCATATAAAAATTTTAAAATTGCAACAACAAATAAGAAAGCAACTAGACGATTATTTAATTTTTATTAGATAGAAAATTTTTTCAAATACTTTCTTTATAAACATTTTTCTTTATAATAATTTAGAGTTATTTTGCTTTTAGCCTAAACAAATTTAAAATGTATTATATAGAAAATTTTAATTCAGACTTTCTAAATATATAGAACTAAGTAGATGATTTATATTGTAAAAGTTACAAGTTATAAAAAAAAGCAAATGTAAGAACAATTAACTATAAAAATATCTATATATTAAAAAATAGGATAAAAAAATAATAAAAAAAAAATAAAAAAATAACATAAATTTATGCGCTTTAACAATGAAAAGTATATAAATAAAAAATAATTATATAATTTTTAATTAAACAATATTATGCTTACAATTGAATTAACGTATTATGCAACTCTTAATATTATACTATCAATTATTTTTATTTAAAGAAAAAAGTAAAAAATGAAAAATTAAAAAAAAATTAAATTTAATTATTTTAGTAAAATATTCTCTTTAAAAATCTAATTAATTATAAACTTATAAATTTCTTCTAACCTATTATAAATTTTATTATAAATAATTAATTACATTATAAAATATGATTATTTTATAAAAGTTGCAAGTTTTAGCTAATAATATAAGAAAAGCATAATAATGATTTATGTATGTATATAAAATAAATTATGATTTGTTTATAACTACCTTAGAATTTGTCTTTTTATTTTAAATAAATAATAAAAACAGAAAAAAAAAATAAAAATTAATATTCAAAGAATAATAATAAACATAACACTTTTTAGTTTATAATTTTTTTTTGTCCTTTTTTTGTTTTATAATCTAGTGTAAATTTTTTTAATCCTTAAAATAGATGTAATCAAATATCAAATTACAAGTTAATAATATATAATATATAACAAATCGAAAGATAACTATAATTATTTTGTCTAAAGATATAAATAAAAAATATCTAAATAATTAGTTTTAATTAGGAACAAAAATAAAATTTTAAATAATACAAATAAAATCTGAAAATGCAAAACTATGTTTCATAACAAAAAAAAAGAAAAAAATGTTTTATTTTCAAATTTTCTTGGGTTGTACATAATATGTATAATATAAAAAAATATGAAACCAATTTATACATATAAAAATAAATATTCAGAGATGAATAATGATAAAATATTTTGAAAAATCCTTTTAAATCGATTCGGCATTTGAATTTAGTGATTTTCTAATGCTTAATTTATTTTTTATTAAAATTACAACAAAAAGAAAAAGGAACAACTAAATTAAACTTTTTTATGAAAAAACCTTGTGTATTAAAAATTTATTCTTTTTGAAACGAAGCAATTTATGGACCTAAAATTAAAAAAAAAAAAATTAGTTTTTTTATAATTCACTGTGATTAACTATCAAATTACAGTAGAATTTTCATATAATTTATATATTGTGTATACAATTTTTTATAATTTAATACTTAAAATTTGAAATAAGAATTGATGGATTTTTTTTTTGAAGAATTACGTATAGAAAATAGAAAATTATCCAAAAAAATAAAAAATTCAAAATTGTTGAAGGTAAATAAGTTAATATTAATTATTATTTTTTACGTACTCGAAATTATTTCAATAATTTCATTACGTTTTAGTTTTTCTTTAATTTTGTTTTTTAAATGTTATGTTACAAAAGATCACTATACTCATTTTATTTAAATTATTTTTAGTTTTTGTCGCAGTTAATATCCATTGTTGTACTATTTTTTTTTAATTAGTGTTTAAATATTTTTTTGTCAATTTTACTTTTTCAATAAGGAATAATTTAGTTTTTAGATAAATTATGTTAAAAAATTTATCAAATGTTTGTAACATAACTTATAAACAAATATTATTTCTTTTGCTTATAATTATATTTACTTTTCTATAATAAGATCGAATAAATTGTATAACAAATATTTTTATAGAACGAAATTTTCTAACAATTAAAGTAATTTTAAAATGTTCATAAAAAAAAATATTTAAAGTTTTTTTTTCTATAGATTTTTCTTTTGATTCTTGTGATTTTTTAAATATCGTATTTTTTAAGAATAATATTAATTTTTTTTATTTTTTTTAATCTTATTTTTATTATCATTTTTGTATTTTATATAAAAATAAGTATACATATTCTATCATTATTAACAAACAAACTTTAAGAATTTTGAATTTTAATTCCCGAAAATTTATAGAGACATATTGAAGGATTTATAAATTGATATTTGGGACAAAAAAAAAAGAATAAGATTTAAAAAAAAATAAACAGGAACTATTGGGAAAAAATTCGAAAATGGGGACTTTGCTTACCATTGTTTTCATTGTTTTTAGTTGCTGTATTCTTTTAAAAATTTGAAAATAAAAAATATAATTATTTTCTAAACATGTTAATATTTAGGGTGTAGCATCAAAAAAGAAAATAGAAATAAACTATTTAACAAATTTCGAAATTAATAATATTATTTAAATATTGAGAAAAAAAAACAAACAATGTGGTTGCTGATAAGTAAAACATTATTGGCCTCTTATATACATATAAAGCGTATATATATATATATTATGTAAAGTTATTAAGAAAATATATATATATATATATATATATATATTCCCACTTAAATATACTAAAAAAAAAATTTTAAATAAATCTAATATAAAAAAGAAGTGAATTCTGTTTTCTAAAGCTGCTGTGCAGAATTATATTTTCTTTTTTATTTGGCTGAGTAAAAAAAAATTTAATAAATCATATTTAAAAAAAAATATATAAATATATTATAAATATATATTTAGTTATAAAACTTATAATAGGTTATAATATTTAAGAGTGGATATAATAAAAATAATTAAAATAAAAAAAAAAACAAAAAAAAAATAATTAAAAGAGACACAAAAAAAAAAAAAAAATAAATTAAAAATGTATTAAACGAAAAAAAATTATTGTTTATTTTTTGACGTTATTAGAATTTATCACTTATTTCATTTTTATTTCACCCGATAAGGAAAAAGTGAATTAAATGTTCTCGCCGCTTGTAATTTAAAAAAGTGTAGAATATTTTCCGAATATTGCTATATTAAATTATCAAAGGCTTTTCAATTTAGTTTCAGAGATGCAGGGCTTAATGCATTGCTAAAATTTTAAATTTTTTCTACGGCAAAAAATTTCTTATTTTTTAAATTCATCATTTAAAAGTTGATCTTGTGTTTAATCAAAAACTTTCCAGCTTAATGTTGTTTAAATCTTTCTTAAAAAAATTTAAAAGTGTTACTTAAATCTTCGTTTGTGTTTTAATCAATCAACTAATGCATACATTATGATTTTAGTATGTCACGAATTTGTCATATGACGAAATAACTCTTGCTAAACTTTCGATATGTGTACTTCAATAGTTTTATATTGTTGAAATATTCCTATATAATAACTTGATGAAACATATTAGAACATTTATATTTTTGACAAAAATATCACGTTTTACTTAGTACCTATATTAGTTTACTTAGATGTAGTAGAGATCTTCAGCACGATCCAAGTTAATTTTGTAATTTTGTTTTCTGCATAATTAAAAACTTAACATTAACAGCGAAAGTAAACCTCGGTTGAAATCCAAAATTTAATATTTTTAAAAATGTGAGATTACACAGTACTAAAATATTGAAAGTGCAAAAAATTATGCTGTTTCTTAATACGTTTAAATTGAATTATTATATGAAAATTTGGGTTTTAAAAAAATTATAGGTAAAATTAATATGTTCAAGTTTAGGCTACGTTTTCTGAATTTACCCTAATCTAACATTCAATAAAACATTTTGGAAGTTTTTGTATAAGTCAAGAACCTTATGGATTCTACTTTTCTGTTATTAGTATGATTTTAAAAAATTTAAATTACAAACATAATGGAATTTTCCGAAAGTTCTGCAACGGCTACTAAATCTACTTAATCTGTTGAAGGGTTTTTTTTTTTATCGAAAATTTGAATGCACGAAAAAGTTATGAAATTTAACAAGGATTGAAAAATAATTTACTGTGTAATTTTTTATCTAAGAAAAAATTGATTATATTTTTACATTTTGAAGAGGAAAAAAATTGAATTTTAGTCAGGAAAGTAAAGATAAAAATCACGTTTAGGTATAATATATACATGGATGTGCATTCGTAATATTAATTATATAAATCATGTAATATAAATATGTACTGTGTACTGTTAAAAAAATACATATCCGTTAACATTTTTTTTTTTTAGAAAAATGCTATAGTCAAATCGTAACCCTGCAAAATTTTTCTTTTAATTGAATTGAAAGGAACTTCATTTTGAAAGATCGATAAAGTTGGTAAACCTTGAAAGTCTGTTAAAATCTGAAATTTCACATTTATTTTGATTTGATTAGTAAATGCAGATATAAAGTTAAAAGTGTCAACTCCTGCCTTTCCCTTTTTTCCATATTAAGAAATTTTTTCAATTTTTGAAATTTTGAATTAACTAATGTATTCGAATTTTATCTTGAAATTAAGTACAACACAATTTACATTTTTTTATTAGCTGAATGATTGCTCATGTTTATTTGCAAATTTCTATATAATTATGTATGTATGTATGTACTTGATATAATATTCTGCACATTTTTTTTTTTGGTTTTTTACTAGACACGACATGTGAGTTGGCGGAAGAAGCGATACTCAAAAATGTTAGAAACTGTTTTTTAATAAACTGGAGTTGTTGAATTAAATTAATTGTTATTAATTTAAGTTAAAACATGTGAAGAAAGAATTGAATGGTAACTGTGGTAGCCTGCGGAATCCTATGCAATTGATAAATTGTGGACTTCGTTTTTGATGGGGTATAAGGTTGTGCGCGCTGCATTTGTATTTATATCTAGTATTTTCTAACATGTTAATTGTTCTAATTCTTGAAACGTTACACCTTTATGTAACTTTTAATGTAATATCTTGTAATAAGAGGAAGGAGAAAATTGTGTTTTATGTTCAAAAATTTTTCAAAAACCTTGCCGGACTACTTATACTTAAGGAATATAATTATGCATCGTGTATTTATATAATAAAAATTATATGCCGTTAAAAAAAAAATTTTTTTTTTATTCAACTATTGTAAGTTTTAATGGGGCGTGAATTGATTGCATTGACATAACGGTAGAGGTACGTAACGATATTTTAAAAAGAATGTCTTTTTTTTATTTTTGCACTTTTTTTTTTAGTATATATATACATTAAGTCAAGTATGTGTAAAAGCATTGTACAAATTTTTTTTTTCTTTATCTTAGGTGCGAATTTGTGTACGGTTATTTAATGTTTCCAGATAATAATTTCCAATATGAACCAAAAAAAAAAAAAGTAATACAATTTTGCTTATGCTGAATAATTGGATTGAAATT